ATTACTTTTAAGGAGCTACACTTATTCTTTAGTACTAAAATTAATTAACTAGTAATAAGATAATACTTATAAGACCTATTTATAAGGGGTTCTTACTCCTTTATAGACTTACTAAAGGTCTTCTTTTTCTCCTTAAGAGAAGACAAGGTGCACTTATAGTAACTATAGTAGTTATATAGTAGTAAGACTACTATAGCCTTAGGGCCTATAGTAGCTATAAGGGTGTATATATAAGCCTTACTAAAGGTAATAGTTTTATAAGATATCTAAAAAAAAAAGAAGTATTAGTAATTAAGTAAAGTAGTATAATAATAAAAAAGGATAATAAGTTAGTAATTAATTATAATAAAAAATAATAATATAACTTATAATTATTATTATAGTTATTAAAAAAAAAAAAAAGTAACTATAAATTTAGCTTTAAGGTAAATATCTACTAATATATAGGCTAGCCTTATAGTAAGTAGCCTTACTAATAGGAATACCTAATGCTAGTAGCCTATAATTATATAATAACTAGCCCTTTTACGCTAAAAGAACTATTTTTCCTTTATATCTAGGCGTACAGTAACCTACGCTAACGCCTAAGGGGGTGTATTACGCAGGATATTGCTAACTAACACTGCTCTCTGGAACAACGTCGCTTATTAATCTGACCCTTACTCCTAAGTATAGATACTTGCGGCGGAATCCACTAAGCAAGGCAATATTTAAGGAACATAGATTATAGCACTATAGATAGAAGAAACAAGCCACTTTTAACTACATGAATTGCCCCCTAAACGCACTGCTTGATGATAGAGGACAATACAATACCTCCACCCCGCCTCATACTCGACCTCCAAGAAGCGCAAGATGTCACAAAACTTGGGGAGGAACCTTTAAATATGCAGAACAGCCATCGGTGCTCGGGGCTTCGAGCCTATGGCACTGGGTACTCCTCTACACACCTACCAGGCACACAAGTAGAACCAAAATAGGAAAAAGGGGTTTATCACAAGAACCGTCAATTGTATGGCTTTATGTCTTTGAAGAAATTTTTCTAAAGAATCGCTGCCCCAATTATTACAGGGGAAAGCGTAACATTCTAGACCGTAGTCAAAAAAGAAAAGAAAAAGCACCAAACGCCGGTTAAGTGTGCGTAACATCATTAATACATCCGGCAAACTAAAAATTTGGCTGGGGGAGGCGGGAGTGGAGTGACCAGCACGAGACAAGAAAAGTGAGTGTGCGAGAGAAAAAAGCCAGCGACTTTAATGTGAGACAACCAATTTTTCCCCCTCAACCTGAACCCGACTTCGTATAAGATGACCTTCTCAATATGCTGGCACGGACTTAGTCACTAGATACTGTTCGCGTATTAAGAGTGGAACTGAGCGTCCCAGTGCTCGTTCTTGATATGCATGTGTTCCGGCATCAGGGAGCCAAGGGCAGGCGACCCGTTCATATCGTCATTATGCCCTTGGACCTGTTGGTGATCGCACAAGACACCGACCCCAAACCCCTCGATGTCGTAGGCGGCGTCAAAGGCTGAGTAGATTGGACTAGGGGCCCAGGCGTTGTGATCGTGGTCGTGCTGGCGGTGGTCTTGATCGTGGGCACAGGACATGGCTTGGGGGAGATCGAAGGTCGGGTGAGCACCCATGAGGGTGGCGGACGGGCTGAACTGTAAGTTTTGCGGTGCCGAGAACATGTCGTCGCTGCAGGGAGTGAGCATTCTCGGCTGGAAGGTGGTTTGGCATTCCGTGGCGGTGGGAGACGCCATGGACGTTGGTGTAAACTGTTGCCGGTAGGAAGTTTTGTGGTGTTCCTGTTTGACTCTGATAGGAGACCTGGGACGGGCCTCGGCGTGGTGGCGTATCGACTCGAGCGTCCCTGGTTCGGGCTTGACCCGCTCGTTGTCGGAATCCTCCTCCTTTTTGGGCGGCTTCTGCTCCTTTTTACTTTTCGTGACCCGATTCTTATTCGCTGCGGCGGCTCTGTTGCGTCTCTGGGGCTCGAGGCCCAGCATCGCAGAGCGGAAACGAGAGTATCTCATGCGAGCAGCATGCCCGTTGGTGATGGGCTGTGCCAGTATCGGATCATGGGCAACGGCATTCCAGTCAATCTGGACAACACAAGGTGAGACAAGGGTCGAGGAGGATGGGTTGTCATCGGCAGCACTCACATCTTTCAAGTTTTTCTGCTTCAGGATGGCGAAGAGAAACCTCGTCATCTGGTTGTCTGTGTTGGAAGACATGTTGGAGGTGTCGATAGCTCTGCCACCTCGAGCTGCCCACGCTATGCGATGGAGGTGAAAGTTGATAATGATGCCAGTGAGCTCGAGGGAGGGGAGCAATTTGAAGTGCACAGTGATGGCTGCGGAAGCTTTTGCTCGATCTGATCAACCAGCACACGACAGGCAGGTGTGGAGGTGAAGTGAAGGAAATGAGTCACTGTGAAGATCGGTGAGGCAGGGCGAGAGCCAGATATATGGCATCCAAGTCAGCAGGCTGAGATGTGGAAATGGTGCAACCACTGGGTGCGATGTCAGTCACCCTTCGGTGTGGGAGGTCAATGAAGGCGAGGCGGACAAAAGAGGCAGACAAGGAGGGATTCGCCAGAAGTCAGCATACCACCCTGGGACATCAACGGTAGTTATAGGTGCTTTGGAGGGCCTTGGACTCCGGAGCTAAAGGGAATGGGATATGCAAGTCGGCTTGATGCTGTCCCCCCCGGGAGCGAACTTGATGGGGCAAGCCGTGGCAGCGCTTGTGGGTGGGAGGAGCGCAGCGGAGCTTGATCAGTACAGTATGAAGAAAAAGAAAGGCGAACGAAGATGCTTTCAGGGAAGCGCCGTAGCGCTTGGGCCGATATTTTATCGAGGTGTAAAAGTGGCAAGCCCCCTTGGTTGAGACACAAGGAATCAAAATAGTCCCTTGTTGCCTGGAGTTACGGCCAGGCTTTGACGGGGACGCATGGCCTTGAGGAGGGGGCGTGACGTTTGTAGAGGGAGTGGAGCGGTCGTAAGGTGGTGGTGTGGGAGAGGAGTGAGTAGCTAGAGCTGCATGTGCATGGCATCATCCATGGACGGGATGGACAGTTTGAGGTTTTGATAGCAGCTTAGCCGAGCACTGATGCAATGTTGGAGGGGTAGGGTCGAGGCAGCGTGGGTGTGTCGCGGCGCGGGGCCGTGTCATCTCTCTTATTCGCGTAAAGTGGTTTCTGATCCCCCTAGCTTTTTTTTTTCTCGACCTTTTTTTGCAGATCCCTCCCCTGCACTCAGCCGACGAGATGGAGTCGACTTGACTCTACCCGACGAATGAAGGTTCGGGCAGGCTAGCGTGTCCACTGGCATGCAATGATAACTGCGACTAGCACTCGCACGTAGGCAGAATTGACTCGTCAATTGACGCGCACAGCTTTCGTGATGCTGGGGTAAGATTTTTACCCCCTTGTCTGTCAAACAGGCCGCCCCAAATGCAAGATCCAGGAACGACCAGCGCACCACTTGGAAGCGGAGCAAGGATCTTAATGGATGGCATGAGACAGTATTGTGGTATGGGGTGTGTGACTCACCTCTCGAGTAGTGTAGCGTCGGAAATGGAGGTGGTTGGGGCGGACTGTCTATGTCCATGTTGCGGCATCCGGTTCGCACTATTCATTGGCGGCCCTCCCGCAACGAGTCGTCAAACAGACTTGGACTGTCTCTGGTTGACGAATACAATTGTGACGACGGAAGAAGACGCCTGCAGACGCGTAGGTAGACATGTATTGCGACATGTATGAGCTGGCTTTTTGCCTGAAGGGTGTCATGCTAGGGAAGGATTGTTGAGGCTTGCGACGCCGGGCTGCTGTGATACAAGATACGGCGATAAATGACAAACAGAGTTTGAGTCTCTTGGCCCGAGATGGTACCCCCTGGATTCGTGCTTCGGTCAATCATTGTATCGTAATTTCAATCTCGTGTCTGGGCCGGGACATTTGTCGGGTCAATCGAGATAATGGAACAGCCTGGTAGTCGATGGTCGAGATAGCCGTTTGATGAGCAAAAGCCGTATGAATACGGGACTAAATTGCAGCGAAATCAGATCATGTACATTGAAGCCGTGAGACGGGCAAATGTATTGTGAAACGCCTGCGTTGGTGTCCTGGGCAACACGCGATGAAGTTGGTGGGATGCGGTGAGGTGGTTGGGAGACGCGTTCTCGCGAACTCTGAGCGGGGCACTGTGCGACCAAGTTTTCGCCAGGTCGCCACGAAACCACGTGATGGGTCCAGCCTCGGTCATTAGATGCACCGTGCACATGACCCGCCGGCGACCTACGCGATGGCTGCCTGAGGCCCAGTAGCATCCGATCTCCACACCGACCATAGCCGGTTGAGAGCTGCGCCGAACGCTAAAAAAAGCAGCGCTAAGAGGATTTGGATGAAGGGGTGAAGGGGCCTCCGACGGATTTGAGATGAGCTTCCTAATTGGCAACCTCTTTAAGCAGGTCACATCTCGTGGCATAAGAGGTCGAGGAAAAGGGAACAAACGAGACCATGCTTTCGGCCTGGTCATTCGAGTCTGTGTCAGTTCCGTCAAACTCAAGTATGTCGCTAGATCTAGTCAACATCTGCAACACGGCTTGAGGCGCATACGAGCGGATTGCACCATCGGGTATGTCCCAAGGTTGATCTCCCTTGGACCAGCACGAGCGCCCGAGAGAAGGCCGCCCGCCCAATGTCTTACAACCAGGCTCTTGAAAACAACGTTGTCTCGCAGGCTAGAGTCTTTGATGTCTCAAGGATCCATACGACACAGGCCCTCCCTTTACTAGCTGAGCATACAAAACGAGCAAAAAGGTTGCAAGATGATATCTTCGATAGCCTTGATAGTTCCTTTCGCACAGAATGCAACTGTGCAATGTTGAAAATAACAGATTGAAACCGAATTGGAGCGGATTGCGTGTTTCCCCTATGAATGATGCGACTGCACTGGCGCTAGGCCAGCGAACGTCTACTACGTACCTAGAGGTAGCTTGGCGGGAATTGTCCTCAGTGCTGCTACACGGTTAAACGTCGGGCGGACGGGTGGGTGATGGGCCCGCCACGGTCCCACCAGCGTCTCTGAACCTCGAAATGTCGAGGCAAATGACAGGTTGATAACCATGTTCATATTCCCAAAGATTCTGCGGAGTACTTCAGGACATTGATTGAAAGCGTATTCCTCATATTTTCTTCGTTGGTAGGTCAAGGAAACTAGGCGAGCGCGTGCATGTAAGGCAAGCACCTTGTCGGTGAAATGTTGAACCGTTCCGAAACCACATTTTCTACGGTGTTTTCCCTCGAATGGAGACTTGAGGGACGAACACCTTCGGCGCAGTCGTCAGCACACTACCAATTTCTCGTCTTCAACCGCGATAGACAACTACCAGCTCATCCACTTTCAATCGTATAAGTCGCGATTATCATCGTCGCGAACCATCCACCCCCTCATTCGCTGTCGCTATGAACAAAAATTGGAACGACAGGGCCGACAAGGACCTTTTCTTCACCATCCTCTCCGTCAAGAACATTGGCGTCATCAGCGGCTCGGAATGGACCACCATCGGCAACCACATGCGCACCCTGGGCTATGGCTTTACAAACGAGGGCTGTCGGTAAGTCTGCAATTGATACCACTGTCTCTCACTTTTCCGCCCGCCCACCATGAACTGCACCAAAACCGAGTTATGGGCAGCCGAGGCATTTCTTGCCCCCTTTGCATTCTTCCGTACAGTTCTTTTCGATTTCACTCTTCTCTGGCCTTCTTATCGGCTGTCTAAACCGCCGGCCATGTTGCAAGAATTATAAATGGAGGTGCCAGATGGATGTAATTGCCCTCACTGGCTCTCTTTATCAGCTTTTCTTCTTCCGTCATCGGTGCCATTTCTCCCCATCTCTCTTGTATGTCTCTTGTTCCTTCCGCTCCTCATGTTCCGGGGACGTCCCCCGTCTTGGTCTGTTTGGTTCCATGAAGCATCTTCCGTGAAAGCCGAAAGACGTCGACGGTGAAAAACTTTGGGCACTTTGCCTGCGCGCTGTCTCCGAGTATCTTTCATGCCACCTTGAATTTCACGTTATGTACTAGTCAAATGATGTTTGACACCTTTCCGTCTGTTCCCATCATCAGCGTGTTGCGCAATCATTCGGTTTCGTCTCATATCTTCTGTCAATTCCTCATGGAGTTGAGGCTCTACTACACCATCTCGATGGCGACTGACACTTCACAGGCAACACTTTCAAGGTCTTCGCCGTGCCCAACACAAAGCTGAGACCAACGGGGGCAGTCCGGACAACCCTCGGAAGCTTGATCCCACCACAAACCCGATTACCCGTCGTCCTGGACCAGGTCGCGGAAGGCCCAAGAAACAGCCTCAACAGCCTGTCCCAATGCAGCTTCCTGCTCTTTCTAACCAGCCCAGCCAAGTCGCTCAGCCCGGTCAAGTTGTCCAGCCCGGTCAAGTCGTCCAGCCCGGCGAAGTCGTTCAACCCAGCCAAGTCATTCAGCCAGGCCATCCCGGTCAGCTTGGACCTGACCAAGGACTTCAAGCCGACCAACCTGCCCAACCTGAACATCAACCCGACCACCAGCATGATCATCAGCCTGACCTCCATCAGCCCGATTCCCATCAGTTGGACCACCAGCCCGACCATAGTCAGTCCATTCAAAACGATCAATCACATCAACAACCATCTGTAATATCCGATGATCTCGGTGCTTTGCCGGAATCCTTGGATCTTCCTCTCAAGGAGGACTCTCTCGACATATCCCTCAAGGAAGACAACGATGACGAGCAGGACGGCCACGATGCTAAGAGAATCAAGCTCGATAACCCCCCTCAGGATCCTTCCCTTGTTGATGATGAAGCCGTATTAGCTTTGGCCGCCCACAGTGAGGCTCCTTCCGTCGATGGCTATGCTTCCGAGTATCCAACAGCTGGTCTAACGGGGACGGACCCGCACAGCTTTACCTACAATGGCGAGACATAGGATAGAAACCTGGCACTTGAGATGGCTGCTAGCGTGGTCCAGAGCTCGGGCAGTGGCAGTTGTATGGCTCAAGACTTGCTTTCAGATCAACGGTGTCAGGCGGATTAATATTGCTACCTAGAACCAGTTTTCTCCGGTCAAGGCGTTGTGCATCAAAGCGAAAGCGGCATCAGGAGCGAAGGTAATGAACACGACTAGGTGCCTGGAGTTTGGGTCGATTGAGTATTTCATTGTTTCCTGTTATTCATCAGTCATCATTCAGCGTATAGCGTAGAAAGAATCCGTCTTGGGCTGGCATTGACCGAATGCCTCCGTCGAGGTTGGAAGTCTTCCACAAGAGAAGAAACACATCAGAGTTTGCTAGCCACCACATGATGTTTCTTTCTTCGAAGGCATCCGTGATTTCTGTCTACCTGCGTCCAGAACCTAAACAAACCGCTTTTGCGAATCCCCGAACCAATATTCTACCATCGTCCTTTAGCCAGCCAGCAGGTTCTGAGAAGGTTCCATGGAACCTAAGATAGATCTTCAACGTTCTGCATCTGCCAATCTGTATCTCCACCCAACGTACTATCCTATCTTCTGCTGCCGTTCAGATTCTGCTACCATTCACATAGACTAGGTAGGCTGGGCAACTGCCGTCAGGTATCAGCCTGGCAACTCCGAGACAGCCACAGCCACTAAGCTTCTGTGACCCTCCGTGACCCTCCGTCCCGGCTCCTTATGCCCCCCTTCCCAACGGCTTCTTCTTTTCCTCGGGCAAAAAAGATATATCCACCCCACGAAGAGTTTCCTCCTCATCACCAACTTCCTTCCTTGCCATTAGTCAACACTCGCAAAATACCCGTTGCTATCCGTTACCATCAGACTCCTTTCACCATAACATCACCTTCGAGAAACTCATCGCAACAATACCGGCAAGATGTCTGAGAAGCAGGTCATCGGCAAGTGGAACAACCCGGCGTTACTCCATAGTTTGATGCTCGCCTTGTACGGCCAGCTCAAGGGCAACCTCAACAAGGAGGCCAAGGACGCGATTGAGCAGAAGATGCATCGCGATGGCTTCGAGGATGTCACCTGGGAGTCCATTCGGTAAGTCTACAGCATTTACTTGAGTTTTCCTTCTGGTTCTTCTTGCGGCACACTCTCGCGACATGCGAGTCTGAGACTATTTTCTTGAGCGCCGCTCCTTCTGCGAGGCTGCCTGCTGTTTTCTGCAGTTTCAATGGCCTTTCCTGTCCTCATTTGCAAATCTTGTTTGCAAACCTCTTGCCTCGCACATTCCTTTGGCGTATAACTTCTTCTCCTCCCCTCCAACTTTCCATCTTTAATCTTTTTTCACCTCCTCTCTCACCTCACCTTGAACCACTTCACACGATTGCAAACCACAGCAACATCACATCGCAAACACTCTTCATTTTCACCACGAAAAGATGTCTCGCGTAACTATGAAGTGGACTCCTGAGGACGACCAGCAGATTCTGGTCGCCATGGTCAAGACCCTGACCCCGAGCGCCGAACAGTACTCTGCCATCATCCAGGAGCTCCACACTTACGGCTACAACTACACAGTTTCTGCTCTCAAGTGTGCCTTCCTTACTTTTCATTTTCCCTCCTTGCGTTTTCACCTGCAAGGCACCTACTTCCTCCAGCGACACCCGCCTTCCTCTTTCCAATAAAACTGACTATCGCTCCCGTCTCACTCCTTCTTTTTCCTCTTCCAACTTCCACTTCTCCCAGCAGGTTACCACACATTCTGCTATAACCTCTACGCATACTCCCCTACATCGTCAGCACTCATACAAACATCATTCGCTATGGCTCCAGTTACTGTTTGGGATGACAAGGCCCGATCCGATCTGCTGGTTGCCTTACTGACCGTCACCAAGCCTTCTAAGGAGGATTGGGATCGTGCTTTGGCTGCAGTCCATGAAAAGGGCTACACCTACACCGCAAGCGCCGCCATGTACTTTCTTTCCTCTCCCCCATATTTTCTTCAAATCTTTCTTATACATTTCATCGTCACTGTTGCCAGTTTAAACATGTTTACATGGAAATGCTAACCTTTACGGCAGGCAGCACATTCAGAAGTTGCAGCGCAAGGAGCAGACCCCTGGAGACAGCGGTGAGGCCAGCGCCACTCCCACCAAGAAGGGCGCCAAAAAGGCCGCCACTCCGCGCAAGCGTAAGACTCCAGTCCAGAAGGCCAAGATCGAGAGTGAGGCCGAGGATGAGGAGGAGCAGGAGACTCCTGTTCCCAAGAAGCCTCGCACTCCCAAGAAGCCTAGGCAAGTAACACCTTGATTGAGTTACTGAGTTATGCTGACAAGCCTCACACAGCATGAAGGAGCAGGCCGACGAGTTCCTCAACCTTGACGCCATGGATGGCGACCACTTCGATCCCAATGATGTCGAGATCTAAGTTCGACTTGCGCGTCTCTGGCTAAATGCATCGATCCTTCCATATAACCGCTGCACATCTTGGAGGACGCTTGCTTTTCTGGGTGATGAATGACTTGGAGGCTTGGAGGCTTGGAGGCTTGGATTGACGATGGTCGGGGCGGCAGACTTGAATTGTGCACATCTTTGGCATCGGTACAAATCTTGCCTCTTTCTCATGCTTCGTCAGTCATGATAGGCCATTAGTTGCCTAAGATTACGGAAAATTTCTACTAGAAATCAAGAGCTCGGCTTGCTTTCTCTAAATCGTGGTCTTCTCTCTTGTGGGCCTGTACTATGTAGCGACTGACCTTGAACGAAATGGACCCTTTCGTCTTATGATTCACCATCTTTCTATTATGGCCGATGCCAAACCTTCTATCGATTCCGTCAGAAATTTGACACAATGGATGCCCAGCTGTTGCACGTCCACAGAGGTTTTCAAAACTTACCTCAATCGCTCTTGAGGATAATAGATGGCTTCTATCATGACAGTGGCTAGAATACTAGTTCAAGATGCCAGACGATGGTACTGTATAGTGTCTCTCAGCATCGACACTGAGCTTGATGGTTCCTAGTGAACCTAGACACAAATATGCTTGCTCTCCCCACTGCTACTAGACACTCCTTATGGCCAGCACACTAACTAGAAATACTAGCCTCTTAAGCTGAGTAAAACCTTCATCATTCTCGCTAGTTCTATTGAAACCATTGAAGAATGTGTACATACCGTCTAAGCTTAGCATACTTGGTCCTTCATCTTATGAAGACTACCAGTTGCGTTAACTACATACCCTTTAGTGGAGGTTTTGCTCTTCTTATTTTCTCTTTGTTATGAAAGGTACGTAGGATATAGAGTTATGTTCTCCAATATTTCTTAACATAACCTTCCCTCAATCCCTCTTGCCAGTTTGGTTGCAACTGCCTTGACGAGGGTTCAGAAATCGCTTAAGGTGAGTGCCCGCCTTGTTCAAGCCTACCCTCTTTCCTCCTGACCTTCACCAGCTTCAAAGACCTTTCACCCAAGGCTAAGCTATATAAACCATCTTCCTCTGCCGCTCCCCTCTATAATCTTTTCTTCCCCAACCCTATTTATTCTCTACAATCACTCAGTCTGCAATCGAGTCCCTCAGCAGTTTGAGGGCCAACATCAATAGCCCCGCTATATACAGCACACAGGTATATGTCCATTTGATATTTCCCCTAGTTACGATGACCATTGTGAGCCTGAAAGGAAGCACGCTATGTCGGATTAGTGTTTACTGTCATGTAATGCTTCAGACTTCTTCATCACCCTTCACTTAATGACCATCATTTTGGTTTCATCTGTTGCATTACCGCTCTTACGTTACCCCAAAATACCACTTTCAAACCGACTCATGTACTACCTCCCTAGCCTCTTCCACAACTTCAACGTCTTCCACATTTTATCGCTACCAAAAGGGTCTACAGTTTGTTCAACTCTCTATTCTGCGCCGCTCTTGCCTTTATATCCATTAATCTTGCCTCTCTCTCTCATCATGCTTACCTCTCAGGACAACTACTGCATCTCTTTCTGCATCCAAATCATATTTGGCCAGAAACGCATCTCATTCCTACTAACCATCTCACAGTTACTCAACTTTAGCAACATCCATCATGGCCCCGAACGTTTGGACTGACACCGCCGAGAAGGACTTGATCTGGACCTTCATCAAGGTCTCCAATGGCGGCAAGATCCCTAAGGCTGACTGGAACACCATTCACCAAGAGATGACCGATATGGGCTACAATTTCACCATCAACGCTCTCAAGTAAGCTTCCTTCCTTCCCTTTGGCATAATCACCACCGTCTACCCTCTCAATCCTTTCACACCCTCAGTCCAGCCATGAGACTAACTGCGTTTTCGTTAATAGCCAGCGCTGGTCCAAGACTATCGTCAAGAACTATGGCAAGCGCGCCAACGGCGTCGGCGCCGGCAACGCTGCTACCCCGGACTTGGCCAGTGCTCCATCCACCCCTTCCGCTTCCCGCAAGCGTGCTGCCCCCGGTTCTGGTGCTCGTGTCCCGGGAGCTCGCGGCCGCCGAGGCAACCAGGCCGCTCATGACATGGCTTCTGGCGCCACTGGTGTCGACAACGGCCAGGACGATGACGAGTTCGAGCCCGAGGATGTCAAGCCCAAAACGAAGCGCACCAAGATTTCCAACCATGGCGCGGCCGCTGGTCTCAACGGTCAGCAAATCGACCTCACCAACGATGCCGAGAACGTCCAGGCCTCTCAGCGCCTCGAGGGTGTCTCTATTATGGATGGAGTCAAGGTCGAGGGCGAGGATGGATTTTTTGGCCGTGGCCGCGATCGCAGGTATGCCATGTGTCTCATTTTATTTCCCCTTCCTTCATATAGAACCCTCATTCCCATCCCGTGATCTTATCAGGATATTGCCATTTCTCTGGAGCCGGATATGCAGCAGTTACAAGCTTCCGGCCGTTCCGCACAACCATATACGCTACTCTTCACATACATGTGGACAACATGTACTGACGTCTAATATAGCATGACTGCCGCTCCTGACGGACACTTCGCCACGGACTTCAACGTATTCGACAACAACGCAGGCCCCTCTCAGCATCGTGCGCTTGACGGTTCCATCTAGGAGCGCGTCGAGGCCCGCATCGCCGCCGCCGCCAACCATTTCTAAGACGGACAAGAGATGGCGTTTGCTACAGCACCTGAGAGAATGTACCGCTTGCTACTCCTATTGCTTTTCCCGTCCTCTTTGCTTTCCCACTAGCAGAAAAGAAGACACGCAAGTCGCAGAACAAAAACATTTACACACCTTACTCTCACGTACTGGGCAATGAATCAACGGTCGGCGGTTGTGGACAAGAACTGGCTTTTCTTCTTCTTCGTTATTCAGTCATTGGGCAGCCAACATCTCTCAACCGCTCGCTACTGTTTTTCCCCCCCGATTCATTTCTGCTTTCTGGTTTGTTTCCTTGGCTTTCGTCAACCTCTTTATACCGTTTTTCTCTCCATTTATGGTTAACCTCACCGAACGGAGACGCCCGTTTTTGGCTCCATTTTCGGAGGCGGCATAGAGAGGAAGAACCGTGGGCCTCGCAAGAGAGCCCGTGAAAAAGGGTCAACGGCCGGCAGAGGAACGAAAGACAGACGAACGGTTGAATTATACAGAGAAAGGGTTTTTGATGTGTGTGTGTTTTTTATGGCACAGAGTACGGAAGATGGCTAGCAGGGCTCATCGCATGGAACATCGGAAGCGGGAAACGAATGACACTGACGAGGAAGGGGGCCAGGAGTTGTTCCTGATACCCCTGAGATATCGCGCGAGTTGCGAGACTCTATGGGGAGCAAGCTGACAGTTGTCTCTATAAAGCTCTCAAGCAAAAAGTTTCTGAACTTGGTGTCCCGAATTGCAGAGCGACTTGTTATCGTGTCATGCACCCCTGCAATTCGACTCTTGTCTAGCGCCGGTTATCGTAGTAGACACGGTCGAAGGCCTGGTCACAGCGCAGATGGCCATCACCGCCGTCGTTGTATTATTCGACGAACTTCCGGAGGTATGCTACATCCAGGCAGCCGCGGAGGGCGTCGTCTCTGGTGCTGGAGTCTGAATGGCGAACGATGATGGCGGGCGATGACCCTTTGGGTGTTCTAGCACAACAGTGCGCCAAACATGTCCTTGCCAAACATGTCTATGCGGCGTCGGATGCGACGGAGTCGGTCGGGCTCGCTGGTGTTCCAGTTGATTGAGGATTACTGATATATGCTGAAGGTGCCACACTGCGTATTCCTCTTGACCACCTCTCTGAGAAGGATCGAGATGGCATCATGGCTCATCCGCCCTTGAGATTTAAAGCTCTTGAGGGCGTCCTCCTTTCACGCCGCCAAGCCATCAGCGGTCGTGCCCTTTAGCCTTTCATCGTCATCGCCGTTGGATATATCGAAGGTGTGATCCTGTGATGACATATTTTCAACGGCGCGTGCATAAGGTTGTTGCGTATACGACGTAAGTCTCAGTGAGGAAGGCCTGCATAGCCTTGTTGCGATCGTCGTCGGACAGCTTCGAAGTATATGCCTAAGCACGAAAATGTGCGGCAAGGGTTTCGACGTTAGGCATCTAACGGGCGTAGACGGTGAACCTCGAATAATTGGCGTTCATTCGAGAATTTCTATAGTTGAGCTGGGTGACAGGCACTGCCCAATTCAGCATAAGCAAGACCTCAGATGTTTCACGCGAGAGACACTCGCGTGCGATCGCGATCATTCTTCATATCCGGGAATCTAACCATCATTCGACTGTCCCCGATGGGGCCCTCGTAATTACAACTATGCGCCCTGAATGACTACCCAGCCTGTACCCGAACGCCATTGGTCCGCCCAAATCATGTGAGATTCATTGTCCGAAACCGATCACTCAATGCCGCGAGGCTTCGGACCACGGCCGTCCAGTCTGCGTCCCTCGTTGGCGCCCTTCTTCTCAGGTGCCTTCTCCTTCTCCTCGGCCTCACCCTTTCGCTTGCCTCGCAGGGTTTGTCCCTGACCAGCAAAATGTGGGCGGTTGGCCTCTTCCTTCTCGCGCTCCTTGTCGGCATCGGTCTTGACAGGCTTAATTTCATAGCCAAAGAAGAGCTTGTTAGGTGGTAGACGGAGGGGCATGGGTCCGTTCGTCCGGCGTGGCAGGGGCACAGCAGGTGCGTTGGCTGAAGCGCCAGCGACAGGGGTTGCAGGCTTCGGCGTCGACGTCTTGCTGCCCTTCTTGTTAAGCTTCTGTCCCTCACCGTAGAATCTGGAGATGTTCGTGGTTGCTGACGGGGCAATGGCGCTGTAATTGATGGACTGGGCCATAGAACCTTGGCTGTGGAGCAAACCGCCGGCCGGGAGACCGCCACGCACACTTCTAGGTGTGCTGGTTCCGCTTCCCCTCTGCTGCTTCTCGGGCTCGACGTAGCCGACTGGCGCGGCGAAGTCAACCTCGACATCCGTCTCGATCATGCAAACACCCATCTTTTCTGTCTCAGGCTTGACCTCGAGGACCGCTACATGGTAGATTTCGTCGTTGTACTCGAAGTTGAAGACGTCGCCCTTGGTGAGAGCAGCGAAGTTCCTAAATGCCTTCTCCAGCACCGCCTTGGGGTCACTGATGTCCAGGAAGTTGGTTGACTGGGGCTGCAGCTTGACCAGCTTGGCAAGTTCGAGGGAGGTAGTCTTGATTTGGATCATGTCGCCGACATCAAGCGAGAGAGTTTGCATCATCTGGTCTCATGTGAGCAACGCCACTCGCACAGCGCCTATTGTGTTGGAGGAGTTACGAACCCAGTGGGGCAGGTAAGCTCTGCCCTCCTCCGCGACAAACTCGAGCACACCAGCGTGCGAGTGCTTTCCCTTCTCGCCATTTATAATCTCCATCAGTAGCGGCCACTGAACATGTAGCTTCGAGACCTTGTCCAGGGCGGACGGAGGCAGGAAGATCTTGGATCCGTAGTTGAGGTCGGGTCGCTCGGGGCCAGGGGCCATGACCATGGGGTAGCATCGGTAGTATTCATCGAATCGCTGGATGATGGGGCGCCGGCCGCCGCGGGCGAAGTTATACATATCTGCTTCGTTGGGGTCGAAGCGGTACTGACGAGCTCCACGTTAGCTTGGAGTGAGGAGGTGCACTGGACTGCTAGGGTAGCTTACCATCTTGGGCGGTCTGGGTATGTACGTGCTTGGTATGAAGGAGAGCAAAGGCAACCTTTGAAAAACAAATTTCTCGTTGCTGAAGTAGGAAAAGCTCGTTCGGGTAGCAAGCTCTTGGGCCAAAGCAGGAGGGCTGGCACGAGAGTTGGAAAGAGGTACGTGACGAAGGAGGACCCGCGGTTTACGTGGGGCCGTAAGGCAACTGATGAATGACGAAACCCGCTAGAGGTTCGGTAAGGTTCCACTAAAAAATCCCATGCCTGAGACCCCAGACGATACTTTAATGCCCATGCACTTTGTACGGAGCATCCAGGTACCCGCGCGCTGGTGCATTCCAGGAATTGAAGGTACCTCTTCGAGCTGCATCTAGCCCACCTTGGAGCTTTTGAAAGACAAGCCTTACCCGGCTCTCGTTTCTCGCCCACCCCTCCCATAACTCACCATAGGCAAAGTCAACCCAAGATGTCTTCGAGACACTCAGCAGCGCGCCCCAAACGGGCTGGCGAGACATTCGCGCGAACACATCACCACGACGCTGAAGACGACAGCCATGATTCAAAGAAGCTGAAGTTCGACGTCCGTAACCCCTCCGCGCTGGCCCCTGACGCTCCCGAAGAAGATGCCATTCTTGATGCCGACGTCATCGGCGTTGCCGCCGGTGCGACCAAGCGCGGCGCCGTGAATCTCGACGGCTACGATAGCGACTCGGACAACGAGCGCAACTTCAAATCGCGAGCCGACGAGCGGTACAAGAGCAAGAAGGGTGGCGAGGCCAACTTCTTTGATCAACTAGACAACTATGATGCCAAGAACAGCGAGGGCGCGGGCAAGAAGGGGGGCAAGGTCAACGATGATGACGAGGACGACGATATGTTCGCTGCAGATGACGATGAAGAGCAAGAACAGGTGGCGCAGGAGGGAACCAAGCGCTCGGAAAAGGACAAGGCCGTGCGATTCCTCGATGACCAACAAATTGAGGGCCAAGAATTGAAAAGTAAGAGCGGAGGGCAAATTCGTTTAGACGAAGAGGAGAGCAGCGACGATGAGGCAGACCGGGATCTGGCGATTCAGGAGGAGGGCATCGATGAGGAAGTCGGCCTCGGCGGTCTTAAGCGCAATGCTCCCAAGGTCGAAGCCTTCAACATGAAACAAGAGCAAGAGGAGGGTGCTTTTGACCAGGAAGGAAACTACATCAGAAAAGCGGCAGACCCGAACGCGGTGCACGACAAATGGCTCGAAGGGTTGAGCAAAAAGGATCTGAAAAAGGCGGCGGAAGCGCACGAGAGGCGCGAGGCTGAGGCGCGGAGGCTACGGATGGAAAACGACGATATTTTGACAACGGACCTGCTCAGGACGCTCATTGTCAGGTTGGACAGGGGCGAGACGCCGCTCGAGGCCCTGGCAAGACTAGGCAAGGGGCAGCCCAAGCCGAAGAAGATACCCAAGTGGAAGCTCAAGAGGCAGAATAAGGGCGCCGAGGAGGCCATGGACGTCGACAAGGAAAAGGATCTCACCCCCGATCAGCAAAAGAGGAAAGAGGCCATCGAGGCCATCACGGACGCGGCGGACAAGCTGCTGAGCCGAGACCACGCCGAGATTTACGACCAGGAAAGGGAGGCGCTCGTCCGTGAGTGGCAGCGGGAAACGGGCGAGCAGTGGGTCGAGCCGGCAAAGGAGGGTGCCAGTGAAGACCTCTCTAGCAAAATGTGGGAGTTCCGGTGGACGGACGGGCGCGACGATGCGGATAAGCAAGGGCCGTATGATGGGCCGACGATGAAGGCATGGCAGGACGCCGGGTACTTTGGAGAAGGCGTCGAGTTTCGGCCAGTAGGCGACGAAGGCTGGACCAGGGTCGCTACTTTCGTATGACAAATCCTTTGGGATCAGGGCGCTCACAAGGTACACCGAAATGTAATGAAAACAAATGAATCAAAGAGCCTTGCCGTTTCCTGGCATCGTCGCGATGCTACCATACAAAACAGTTTATGGTACATAATCTATCACAGAGTCCCAGGGGTGGCCACCTAATTTTCTGCCCAAAAGAAACGCCCAACTCAAATACCTTTTTACCACGCTCAGCTCAACTCCATCGCATCGCCGTGACCATTTGTGACGGTAAAGTCAACGGCACCATCGTTGCCAATCAAGCGCTTCTCCGAATCGGAAATGAACTTGACGCTGCGGGCTGGGTCATAGAAGAGCGAGAAGCTTCTCTGGACATCGGCGATCTCAACAGTCTTGGCTCTGCGCTTGGCGCAGATCAGCTGGGACGTCGTGATGAGGTTGCTGGCGTAGCGCAGACCTGCTTCCTGTCCAATCTTAGTAAGAAGCGCCAGGGCGTCGGGCGAGACGTCGACCTCCTCCTCTTGGGCTCTGATGGTAAGGATCTGCTTGATCTCGTCCTGGCTGTATGTGTTGGTGTGGATGATCACGACACGGTCAAGGAAGTCGAGGGGCAGGCCATGAGGGCTACGGTAGTCTGTTCCGCGGATACGAGAGTTGCCCCTGTTGCTGGCCATGATGACGATGGGCGCGAGATCGTCTTCCAGCGCACGGTTGATGTATGAGAAGCACTCAATGTCGAGCATGTGAACCTCGTCGATGAACAGAACACCAGGAACAATCTCGGCCTTGCCCTCCTCCTTCCACTCTCCGACCTTGGTGTTGATCTGGTCGCGGATCTCGCTGCGGATCTCTCCAGTATCTCCGGAGAACAGCGCCAAGAAACCTTGTGTCCTCGAGTTGATGACATCGATCTCGTGCAGCGTGACGGTGTGGACTACCTCCTTGCGCTTCTGCAGCTCACCATCGGGGCACTGCAGGAACTTGGTGTCGACGCCCATGGCATCGTAATCGCGCGAGCGCGCGTATGATCGGCCGAGCTTTGTGATCTTGCCAGAAGACTTGTCGATGGAAATGATATCGCCGGCCATGACGCGCTCCTTGGTCATGGCATCGATCATCTTAGCGCCCATGTCGTAGACGGCCTCCATGTCAGTTGTTTTGATCGTCAGCTTTCCCTGCTTGGCGCCGCCGGTCACGCTCCGGTCGATCTGAATCTCAACGACCTCGCCCTCCATGATTTCGCTCTCCTCCTTGATGCGCACACCAATCGATTTTCGGAAGGCTTGTGTCAGGGCTTCGGTCTTGGACATTTCGAGTGAGAAGATTTCGGAGGACGCGAGGGAGGTGAATGGGACGTCGGGTCCAAGGGACTGAGCCATACCCATTGCGATGGCTGTCTTGCCGGTGCTGGGGGCATCCAGAATCAGTAAAGTAGCCTTTCGTCAATAATGGCCACGGTGAACAAGACTCACCTGGGGGGGCCGGCAATCAGCACGGCTCTTCCAGCAATCTTGCTCTCCTTGATCATCTGCAGGATAACGGCGGCGGCTTTTCTGGCCTTCTCCTGTCCAACCAGACCCTGCGACGACGCTCTGGGTTCTAATGTTGTGCTGTCAACACCAAGGCCGCGGATATGGGAGTGGGCTGCAATGAGATTGAGCCCTCTAAGCTCCTTGCTCTCGGAGACGGTCATGACGGGCTGCGGGTTCTGTCAGTATGACGGGCAGGCGCCGGGGTGAAGAAGACAACATACCGCAGCCATCTTGAAAATAATTTACTGATCAGTTCGGGTCACGAAGGGCGTGAATTGCGCGTTGGCGATTGACTATTCTAATGGAGTGGAGGTGGTGCCGTATTGATGTTCGTTAATGAGGCGCAAAGACAACTACTTCGTCGGCGGATGGGTTGCGATCAAGGCTGAGAAGCTGGGCATGCGCGTTCAGAAATTTGGGAACGCGCTTACCTCAGTCTGCCACACGCAAAACGTGGCGCGGCTAGCGCTTGAGCGCCACAGTAGAAACCCCGGGTACTGTGCCACCTCAGTCTAAGCTACGGCTCTGGCTTAATAACCTCACGCTTGCATTGACGCAACACTGATTAACTTCAGCCAGGTCGATAGCCCAAGAAGGTTAGATTGAGTCTTGTATGTGTTTGAAAAACATCGCCATTATGAAGGAGTGTTGTTCCACGCAGCATCATTAACGCAACTACTCTCTTATTAAGCTTAAGGTGGGTGTGCAAGTAGGCAAGAGGGATGGGAAAAACACATACACAAACAAGGATAATAATAGTAATAATGAAAAGAAGAATTTGCGACCGGATGAATGTTCGAATGAATGTGCCTGGTTCTTTCTTGTGCTCTCTCAATGTTGAGAACCTGAGGTAGCAGCTCACTGTGAGGAGGAACCTTCTGGTACAATACATCGACGTACCTAGGTAGGTGCATGATAGGCTGAAGTACCTACTGAGGCAGGTGGGCACAAGCGGAATTGCGCAAACAAACACTTGTGACACAGGCATACCTGGTCCCACCGTCATCGCCTGCTGTAAACTACGTTAGTTGGTCCGGATAGTCTGTCCTGCTGCCGGAAAGAGGCAAACATGCATCCATCATCAAAACCCATCCAGTTACTTCATACGGCAAAGCGACGCGAAGCCAGGACCCCTCGATCAGGTGGGTAGCAGCGCACACTAATAATAGTTGGACTACCTATCTACTTGGGTTCAAAAAAAAAAAAAAAAAAAAAAAAAGGCCGGTCGTTCCTACACCCACATACTAACAACACTACTTCTACTCATTCCCCTTCACACATAGAAGAATCTCAGAAATATGTAATCTTCACAAACAGGTTGGTTTGATACTAAAAAGGCTGTTTTACGTTATTAAAAGCCATAGGGGTATGTCGGACTTCTAAGATACACGTACTGTTGTGTTTTGGTGATGTGGTTGAGACCGGCCTTTTTTTTCTTCTTTTTTTTTCTTTTTTTTTTCTTTTCGAACCCGAGTGACTACCTATCTAAAACTACCTAGCCAACCCACCCTACCGTTATCGCCCAGCCCCTACTTTGCCAATTGCAAGGGTTGTTTGGAACATGACATTCGATCAGAAACCCGTTTCGGGTCGCTGCATAATAGCGCCAGCACACCGGCTTCCCCCCCCCCCCCCCTCTTTGCAACTTATGGAGTTAAACCTTCTTCATTCCTCAGCAATGAACTTTGGGAAAAGAAAAAAACGACCCCTGCCCGAACCACAAATATTCAGGAATAACCCACCTGCAGCTATTATACAACATACTGGCCCCATTTCACTTCTAACCCATAATCCACCCCGTCCAGAAGCTGCAAATCCCTTTTCTATCAGTGTCGTGGGCATATTCAAACCGAATTTGCCGAATTGAGCAGGCGTGCTCTTCGCGTGAGGAAGGCCAGCACGGTTTTCAATACCACACGCGACTGACCGCCCAAGTGCAGGGTGCCTCTTGCTTCAGAAATCGGACGATTTGAAGGAGCAACAATTCGCCTTCAAACGGTGACAACTTTCTGCACTGCTCATCTCTCTAAGCTTTGCAATAATTCACTACGATAACGACGACAACGACGACAACGACGCGCCCGACATCCTTGCTTTCCCCATCCCACCATACGCTCTTTTTTCCATTCTGTTTATTCTTTTTATTCCTTTTGTCTCGCATTGATTCCTGTCCTCGACGCCTCACATTCACTCAACTATCTGCCTACATGCCTGGAGGGAGTACGTGACCCGGATATGACCTCATAGTGAATAAGACGACCACCATAGTCTGAGTTTTTCATTACAACATGGCTTACAGGCGCTCCGATTCGAACGAAGGTCATCGCGGTGTCCGCGATAGGTTCGACGGCCAGTTCGACTACCAGAACCGACGAGATGGTGAAACAGACCGTCGAGATCGTCGCGATTTCCATCGTTTCGGCTCTCGCTCGCTCTCTCCAGACCGAGAACGCAACTACAGAGAGAGAGAGAGGGAAAGGGATCGTGATCGACCTAGAGATTTGGAAAATCCGAGGCTCTCAACAGGGCCTCGAGAAAGTCGCCCCCAGCATCGGAATGTCTCATCGTCGGCACATACCAAATCGAGCAGTTCAGCAGATCCACGTCTCAATCGGGGCCCAGAACCACGTATGACTACTTGAAGATTTCCCTCGCGAGTGCCACAGCTAACTTTTTGGTGAAAATAGCGCCTCGAAAAGTACATACGATACCGACAACGCCACATTTGGCGAATGACTCATCGTCCATGGCTAAGATCATCGCGGCTCTGCGACAGCTCTCACAGCGAAGCAATGAGCAGGGTGCGTTGCAGCTACAAAAAGACGTGGTTGAGGCGCGTGCTCGAGCCAGGGAAAAGGAGCATGCTCAGGCGCAACCCAAATATGCCGAGTTCCCGTCTTTGAAAGATTACCATCGTAAGCTTGAGAAGAGGGACGCTGAAGACTTGGATGCATTATGCAAGGAAGTTGGACTTGCAGACAAGCAGTGGCTCACTGCGGCCGAAAGTGTCGCTGCGACCTTGCTCCAAGCTTTTGCCGATGAGCAGCAAAAAAAAGGTGATCGCTCAGGTGGGCCCAGCTCTGAAAACCTCGAGGCACAGCTCAACGCCCGCATAGATGCGCTTGACAAGCAACACAGAGAAGAAGTGGCAAAACAACAGAAGCAAATAGAAAACCTTCGAAAAGGGCTTTCGGTCGAAACAGCTCAACGTAAGATACTGAGCACTGAGAATGAAACCCTCAAACAGAAGGTCCAATACCTCCAAAACAAATACACATCTCTGACGACCAAGTTCGACGAGCATGAGACGTCCAATAAGCGGTTGCGAGACGAGGAAGCCAAGGCGGCGCTGTTGCCTCCAGCAACACAAACCACTACGATTACCTCGGAAGATCTGATCCAAGTCAAGACGATGGTAGACCAATGTCGAACCGAATTGACCGACTTGGAGGCAAAAATGGCGAGGCATGACCAGAAACTTGGCGAACTGGATGTCGATCTCATCAGCGAAGGCTGCTATTCTCTCGCGGCTACACTGCCACGACTCGAACAGAACGCCAAGAGGGCTGCAGATGACATTTCTGTGCTCCGGGCAGATTATGGTCAGCTCAGAGCGGACAACGAGAAGCTCCGGCTGGATACTGATGGTCTCCAGTCTGGAGTCCAACAGCTTCAGTCAGGCACAGATGAGCTACGGTCCGACGCGCTTATGGTCCGGCCGAGCGTGGAGCAGCTCAAATCCGACACTGACGAGCTCAAGGCAGTTGCTGAGCAGCTTAAATCTGAAATGGTACAGCTCCGTTCAGGCACAGAGGAATCGCAGTTGGCCGTCGAAAAACTGCGGTCAGCAATGCATGAACCGCCGGCAGGGGACTCGTTCCTTCCTGTCAAGACCTTTACAACCATGAACACTGCCGTGTTCAAGACATTTAGCGGCTGGATTGACGACTTGAAGAAACGGGTGGATGCCGTAGAGGGCTCGATTCCAACACTGCAGACCGTTTCGAAGCAGCAAAATGATCATTCCTCGCAGATCAAGGCTATAGAAGACCAAGTCAAGACGCTGGAGAAAGAATCTGGCCAAAAGACGACTGGTGGTTTGGAGAACAGCCGTGTATCCACGCCGACCCTCACGCAGAGAGAGTCGATGAATGCTGCACTCGAAGCGTTGAGGGCTCAGGTGGCGATGACGGATCAAAGCATCAAGGCCATATCGGAATCGGCTAGACTCACGAGCGAAAGCCAGGCGGCGCAGGCCCAACGGGCGGGCCAACTTGAAAATGAGGTGCGCACGACAAGCAAACGATTAGGGACTGCTGAGCAAGCGCTGCAAGCGATGGGAGAAAGGTTTGGGAGAAGGCTGGACTTCATGCAACAGAACTTTACGAGTCTCGATTCTCAGATGAACAACCTCACAACGGAAAGCCTCTTCCAGGCCATTGTCCAATACATTAACAGGTACCAGCCTGGCGATGGACTAATCGGGCACCAGGTTGAGAGAATATTTCAACAGATGACTGCGTACGATCAGCGACTGACAATGCTGGAGCGGTTTGTGAGCCCAAGCGAAGAGTCGGCCAACAAAAAACGTAGGCTCAGCCCTCACATGGGACAGGTGGGCATGCCGAACGGAGGTCGTTGAGAAAGGGAGTTGACGCTTGCCTTTGATTCGCAATTTAAGATGTTATCCCAAAGACGAGGACGGCGACGGTGCATCGGGCTGGCTTGAGATACCAAAGTGGGTTATGCAGCAATATGCATATGCGTTTCTACTTTGAGCAGTCCTCTATAGATAGACTTGCCTGCAAAGACGGCATTATGATTGAAGATGACTCCATCTCTGTTCTCTATACCTTACTAGGCGACGATGCTAAAAGGAGTGGGTCAACACTAAAACACTACTGCCTACCTACCTAGGTAGGTACAGTCTGGCATTCGCCTTGGAAGACGGTGAAGCAGCAGTTTACCTCACTCGAGATCTGTTCTGTACTGAGCAGACTCAGGCCTGGCACATAGGTAGGTAGGTGAGAGAGAAGGTACATACGCACAGTAGGAAAATACAAAGTATGGTGGGGGGATCGGGCATTTTCAAGCACATCCAATCCTTCTTGAATGGGCGGCCCATCTCACACCCATTACACTCACTCACTGGGGGAGGAGACGTGGACCACTTGAGCTGTAGGCAAGGAAGGCAAGGTAGCTCAAGGAAAGACCCTCCCTCCAGTGCGCGCCTGGGATCGTGTCCACGGTCACAGGCCAGATGTAGTTTAGACGGTGATCACTGATTGCCAACCAGGTCGTCTCATGCTCTCCCAGTCAGTGCCCCCCTGCCAGTCCAGAGGAACAGCATGCAGTACACTCCAGGGTGGCGCCCAAAGAATCAATCTCGGCACCCCTACCACTGTACCGCGCAATTGGGTACCGACCGGTGGTGCAGTCGGGATGGGATGGCTTGGGGGAGCAGCGCCGCACGCGCCTCACCTAATTCCTAGTCACCTACTGGACTTCCAATGGCCTTCCATCTACACTACCTACGACTACCTAGGTACCACCTACGTGCTATTGGGGTATGTATCTCCCTTTCGCATCGTATGCATCCCACTGCCGTCGTTTCCATTGGCTTGGCTTGGTCCGGCCTTCAATTCTGCTGCCTGCCTCGTCTTTTGCCTGCCCGGCTTCTCCTCGCATTTAGCACACCTTTGTTTCTTCACCCCCTTAAGGTCTAGCTAGGTAGTTTGACTAAATCTTAACCTCCTCTTCCATCTCTAATTATTCGTACCCGCCAAATCCTTCCTTGACTACATACCTACCTACCTCACCTCACCTCACCTCACCTCACTTGCTGCTCGCTGGGCCAGGCTGGGCCAGGCTGGGCATCCATACCTCTTTTTTCTCTTCCTTTCCCCATCCCTCTCGCACTGTGACCTGGACCTCCAATCCACGTCTAAATCCACTCAACGTCCACCACCACGAGTCGACCCGCGCGACCTTGACCCTTTCCAATACCACCTCCTACCTTGACCCTTGTCCCACCCCGTATCATCGACTTGCGGCACGTCGTCCCGTCCTCAACCCCGTTTGGATCCCGCGCAACTGCTCTGCTGAGTCGCTCTTACACCTCTTCGCACCGACCCGACCCCAAACTCGCGTCGATTGACCCGCACCTTCGAGCGCCGCGTCGCTTCACACCCCATCGCATTTTGCAGCGGCGGCAGGTCACGCTGGGCAATGCGCTGCGGCTCATATTCGCTACTGCTGATGCAAGGTTGATGTTCGGAGCCTGCATGCACCCACTGCCACGACCACGACCACGACATTGACCCCGACAACCATCATCACCACCACCACCACCACCACCACCACCTCCTCATCCTCCTGCCGAATGACCACATCCGTGACAAACCGAGGGACACTCAACTTTCCACAAACATTTACCATCTCGCCCGACACCTCTATCACGTCGCGATCGCAATCACTGCACTTAGCGACCGACCGTACCAATCGCCGATAGCTTGGTCTCGGGCCACCTGCTCGCGTTTCCTCCGATTCTTCACAGAAATACACTTCGGCCCTCGCTGCACGTCGCTCAGATAAGGGGCCATACGTACCGAACACCCATCATATCACGACACATCGTCGCCCACGCCCGTCTGGGGCATAACAACAACGCACTTCGTCATCGGCGCTGATAGTCGCCGATTCGAATCAACACTTCTCGTGGGCTGCGGAGAGAGCTTTGAGCTCTGCTCCGGCGCCCATTCCATCTCCCGTGTCTCCCATCGACCCCGAATTGGCTGTCGCCATTGCGACTTTTGTTGTTCAACCTCGACCCCCCCCCCAACACTCGCTATCCCAACAGCCACAACAACCCCCATCCAACATCATCGCGCTTCCATATCCCGCTCTATTGTTTCGCGTCCCCAATCGCGCATATTGCGAGCTCTTTCCCTCCATGCCCCCACGGCATGCAAACGCCACTAAACCATGGAAGCAGCGGCGAAGAAGGTCCAACTGCTGGCCCAGCGCATCCTGCCCGACCGACCGCATCATCTCTCTGTGTCCCCCGACCAGCGATTTCGCGTCCCGCCCGATCATATCAAGCCCTTTGAGGAATTCAAGCACCCGCGCCTACAGTACATGACGCTGCTGTCCGACGCTGACCGCGGTATGCTGCTCACTCGTCCGTACTATGATATGCGCGAGGAACCTCCGAACCCCACCGCCCACAAGGAGCCGAACACAAAGATGGAGAAGAAGGCCGTGACCAAGTTGTCACTGAGTGACTATAAGAATAAGCAGAAGAAGGTGGCGGATTCCCCTCCCGAATCAAGGACAACGTCGAAGCCGGACACCTCGCGGAAGGATAAGGAAGCGGCCGACGGTCGAATTGAACGAGAACCAAAGAGGATGGACGCATACAGGAACCGCGATTCTGAGGCATCAAAAGACATGAAGGCGCACAGGCCGCGTGAACATACCCACGATGAAAGGTACGACTTGAATTTGCGCACCCCCTGCGCCATCACTAGGTGTGCTGACTGATTGAGTGTAGGACGGGCAGGCCTGAAACTAAGCCTAGGGCAGCTCAAGAAAGCAATGATACCCCAGAGAAGCGGAAACGAACCGCAGATGCCGACAACGAGTTGCGCCCTCAGAAGCGAGCGAGACCCGAAGCTAGCACCCCGTTGGACGAACGATCGCGAACACCCCGAGACGATACCCCAAGGAGGAAAGATGTTCATTCATCGCAGGATAGGACACCGCAGAAGGATGGCAAACTGGGCACAAGCTCTTCGTCATTGCCCAACGGACGATCGGGTCTAAAGTCAGCGCTTGGCTCGGGGTCAAGCGCCAACAAATCACCCGTGTCGCGTGCGCGAGGCGACTCCATCAACGGCAACAGACCGACTCCATCGGGGAGTAGAGCCAGGGCTGAAACTGCTTCGTCACGGTCAGCAGTCCCGCCTTTGCTGTCTCCTCTACACCTACCGAATGAATCCGATTCCCGTCCTAAAGAAAAAAGGCGGGATGACGTCGGCGAGCACAACAGGCCACTGAAATCTCTGAAGTCAGAACCGCCGCCGCCTATTAAGAGACCAAAATCCCCCATCGACCTTCCGGAACTACTCTCTCCAACATTGCCCCCGATAGTCGAGGAGGAGCTAGCCCGAATGAAGAAGACACCCACGAAAAGTTCAGCCTCGGGTCAAAGATTACATCCTCCAGACTCTCCGACAACTAGCAAGAGACCACATATCGTGGTCAAGGAAGAGGACGAAGATCGAAAGGAACCAAAGGACAAGGCCAGGGACAGACCGCGCAGGTTCATGGTGACACTCAAGTACAGCAAGAAGTACAACAAGTCAGTGCAGAGACTACTAGCACTGCCGCCGAGGAAAGACGTCAAGAAAGAACGCTCAGTGAGTATAGAGCCTCCAGCGCCACCTCAGGCGCGGAAGCGACCCATCAGCAGTGCCGAACACATTGGCGATTCAATTGCGGTGAAGCGGCCCAGGACTTCGGATATCACGAGTTCATCGAAGCTGGTCACGCCTTCAACGCCTTCGAAGGCGGCCACAACGATGTCCCGGGTGGCGTCGAACAACTCGGTTAATACCCCTGGAGACGGTAGCGGCCTTACCCCCGCTGCGCCGCCTTCGTCAGACCGCGACCGGCCACAAACGAGAGACGACAGCAGAGAGGCCGCAAATCCGTCTAAGGTCCAGTCGCTGCGCGATCGCTGGGGTCGGTTCATCAAGCTTGGTACCAAGTTGAAGCACGAGCGCGATATGCTCCTGGAACGTAAGAACAGTGACCGCGGCGCTCCTATATCCGATTCGGACAGCAAGCTCAGTATGATCTTGGGGCTGGAAACGGCGTTGGCATTCATGGTCGGCTTCAGGGCGCTGGTCGAGTCACGGCGAATGGAAAACAAGGCGCAAGATCCCAAGCAATGGGGTAGCATTCTGCCATTGCTCAACGTCATGCGCCACGACGTACGGAAGAGTAAGCCGCTGGAGGCACTGTTTTGGCAGCTGCAGGGCGTAATCCACGAGGAGCTCATTAAGTGCTACTGGTCGCTGGACCCCGCATCCCACGCAGTGCATATTATCGGTGCGGAACGAGCCCGGTCGACTGTGTGGAAATCGGCATCTGACGCCGTTGAGCGCGTCGAGGCTCCGGCGATGCGCACCAACATGGGTCCGTGGACGAGTGTGGAGGATGCCGTGGCGTCGGCGCTGAGGATCATGCGCCGGTGGACGCAAGAGGAAAACGTTTCGTGGCGCGCCGAGGTCACTGCATCAGCCGCCAACGGAATATCGTCATAGGTTGTCGACGGAAGCAAGGCGCCGGTAAATGGTCAGGTCGATGACGACACATCCTTTACTGTAACAGAGAGCGCATCATTCTCGTATGATGACATTGTCGCAGCCCACGGGAAAGGAAACGAAGGACGATAGGGCTACCTTTACGGATTGTATAATGGACAGTATCTATTATCTTGCCAATCGCAAACAATGGCTGATAATAAGATGGCTGTGACCCTGCTGGAGGCCGTCAACGTAGCGTTGGGGTTAATCAAGAGACAGTAGGGGGGTATACAAACCAAAACCGGACTGCGTGAAAAGAAATCGTTGTACGAGAAGACCAACCCTTTCGGGCGAGACGAGAGAGGTACGCACGAGGTCCACTCTTGCGTGTGTGTTGTTCATCAATCTCGGAACTCGAGAGCTCCTTTTTTTTTTCTTTTTTAAAACTTTCAAGCTTGGCGTTCTACGGGATTAAGCAAGGGCTCTCTCCCTCCCTCCCTCCCTCTCTCTCTCTCTCTCTCTCTCTCTGTGGACTTTCTTCTCGGTACATTAAAAAGATATCCCTCGCATTCTATGTGTGTATGTGTGTGTGAGTGTGAGTGTTTATGTGTATGCATTGCTGCTTCGTCGTCCCCTTTACTCCTGTATCCTGCATCATCATGTCATGTAGAGGCTAGGGAGGGATCGGGAGGGACCGGGTGGGAAACAGTTACTTGGTTAGATTCTTCTTTCGATGCCGGCGGGATGGATGGGAGAAATCCTCATGTCCGCGGTGAGGGTTGGGCTGCTGTACAAGCTGTTGTCCAGCACGAGGAAGAAGAGGAAGAGGAAGATAAGCTAGACGAAACTGGTTAGGCCTCTCGTTCGCGGGAAAGGTAAAGGAAACTGTCGCCAAAGAGGCTCTCGCCCAAACATTCTGTGTTCTTTACCTCCCCCCCCCCCCCATTTTCTTGTCACTCGTATGTGAGTGACACTGTGATGCGTATGGTCTGGGACCGGTCTAATTGGTTAATCGGCTATCTCAAGTAGAGGCAAGATGGAGAGAGAGTGAAATGACCCCGCACCCGCAACCCCTCACAGCTCTGAGCACCAACCAACCAGCAACAACTGAACTTCCGCAGCGTAATGCTGATAAGAGGGATCTGCGCTTCAGTATTCTTCACCGCGTTTCACTCGGCAAGTGGGCACTAGGCGTGGACTGCGATGGGTAGGCCATAATCTATTTCATAGACGTCATACGGACATGTAATTTGGGAGTTTTTTCTTTGTAGGAAAGACACAACCATCATCCTCCCCGGCATTGGAGACTCATTGTCTCAATAGCCACCCCCCCAATCTGAAAGACTGCCCATCATCATTTTACTGCTTTTGTTGGTCGTTGTTTATCTCATTAAAAGGACCGGTTGGGTCCTGGTTCCTCTCCACGACGTCCTGATGTGTTCCGCACATTTACTTGGAGGCGTCAACCTTGGCAACGTGGGCAAGGAGGTCGAGGACACGGCGGGAGTAACCCCACTCGTTGTCGTACCAGGAGACCAGCTTGACGAAGTTGTTGTTCAGGGAGATACCGGCCTGGGCATCGAAGATGGAGGAGTTGGGGTTGCCGATCATGTCGGTGGAGACGACGTCGTCCTCGGTGTAGGCCAAGACGCCTGTTTCAAGTTAGCTCGTGTTCAAGAGAGTCGGTAACGACATTGGGAGTGGGCAGCAGAAGCTCACCCTTGAGGGGACCGTCAGCGGCCTCCTTGATGGCCTGCTTGATCTCGTCGTAGCTGGCGCCCTTCTCAATGCGGACAGTCAGGTCAACGACGGAGACGTTGGCAGTAGGCACACGCATGGACATGCCGGTGAGCTTGCCGTTGAGCTCGGGAATGACCTTGCCGACAGCCTTGGCGGCACCGGTGCTGCTGGGAATGATGTTCTGAGCAGCGGTGCGGCCACCACGCCAGTCCTTGGCGGAAGGACCGTCGACGGTCTTCTGGGTGGCGGTGTAGGAGTGGACAGTGGTCATAAGACCCTCAATGATGGTGAACTTGTCGTTAATGACCTTGGCGAGGGGAGCCAAGCAGTTGGTGGTGCAAGAAGCGTTGGAGATGACGTCGGCGCTGCCGTCGTAGGACTTCTCGTTGACACCCATCACGTACATGGGGGCGTCAGCGGAGGGGGCAGAGATGATGACCTTCTTGGCACCGCCCTGAAGATGGGCCTTGGCCTTGTCGGTGGTGGTGAAGACACCAGTGGACTCGACGACGTAGTCGGCGCCGGTGTCCTTCCAGGGGATGGCAGCGGGGTCACGCTCAGTGTAGAACTTGACCTTCTTGCCGTTGATGACAAGGTCGTTGCCCTCCTGCTTGATCTCACCGTTGAAGATGCCGTGGGTGGAGTCGTACTTGAGCATGTAGGCCTGAACGACGAGTCAGTATGAGGCACTTGGATATTGTCTGGTGGTCATGGAAGGCATGGCCTGCCACTCGAACCTCTAGGACTCAAGACATAAAGAGTACGAGAGGGCGAATTGACAACGGGTTCCCTTGTTCCAAGTGCACCAATGGTGCGAGGGAAGCAAAGAAGTTGTGTCGTGACGGACATGATATGATGACGATGTTGGACGGGTGAAGGCGGGGGTGGTACTCACAGCGTACTTGGTCTCAATGAAAGGGTCGTTGACGGCGACGATCTCGACCTCGGGGTGCTCGACGGCGTTGCGGAAGACAATGCGACCGATACGACCGAAGCCGTTGATGCCGACCTTGATGGGAGCCATGGTGTTTGTTGTTGTGTGTGTTTGAGGTATTTCTGAGGGTTGCGGATGTCAGTTGAGTTTGCTCAGGAGTAACGGTCAGTGATGGGGGTCCGACGCGTAGGCGGGGTAGTTATCGAGGCTGCGAGGTGTGCAGAGCAGAAGAAGCTTGGAGGGGGAAGCTATCAGAAGCTAGCTCTTACCTTGGAAAGTTATCACGTCGGAGGGTTCGACGAGATCAAAGATGGAATGATGTGTGGGGGAGTGTTCAATGACAAGAGAAGAGAGAGAGGAGAGAGACGAAAAGGAGGGGAGGTGGTGGAAGGGCGCGCGAGATATAGTAAATTTGGTTGAGGGAAAGATGGTGGGGTGGTCTTTCCTGGCCGACCTCACCTACCCATCCAACGCAGCGCCGACGGCCGTTGGAAGAGCAGGAGCAGTAGCAGAAGCTGGCCGGGAGCCGGGAGCAAGGTAGCAAAGAGAGGTGTGGGAAACAGTTCCAGGACGGACTTGGCGCAGGTTAGAGGTACCAGGTACGCCCACGCCCACTCCCACTCCGCAGGGGTGGTTCCAGACGCCAGAGAGGCCCCGAGAACGGGTGAGGTGACTCGGTGATTTGAGGTGATGAGCGGGCGATTGCCTGGTCGACGCCAGGTGGTGAGCGGTGGGTGAGCGACTGAATGACACACACTTTTTTCCCGGCTCAGCAGCATCTCAGGCCGCAAAGCTCTTTCTTGCCTTAGACGCGGGTTCCGTGTCTCTCTCTTCCTTCCTATGTCATGCCATCCATGCCTGTCTGTTGCCTGTCCGTTGCCTCTCATCCACTCGGTCGAAGCAGGTGCGTCTTTTTACGGACGAGGCGGGGCATCGAGCGGGAAGTTGCTGCCGCCAATTCCAGCGTTGTGGCGTTAGTACGATACCCTCCGGGTTCTTGGACCAATTGCTACGAGGGGATCCAGAGCAAGGATGGGATCTTGCTGTTCTGAATTCTGATTATGGTGCTGGTGCTTGGAAACTGGAATTGCCCATTCTGGACAGCCCGATGATTAGTACTAGTGAGGTAGTTTGTGCAGCAGTACCACCGAATATTGATTGACGGTGATGGGGTTGTGGCGTCAACGTCCCCTTCTTCCTCACTACTTTCCCCCCCTGACACCTCAACTCTGTCTGTGCTCATTCCCTTCCATATCGTATCTTACGACGAACTACTCAATAACTGCTTGTCCCCCCCAGTCCTTGCGACACGCTCAGCTCATTTTTGTACATTTTCCAGCGGGGCTTGGTGGTGGTGTTACTTTTCACTAGACTCGGGACTGACAACGACTCAAGCAGTGCAAGCATTGTCGAGGCCAGGAATGGTGAGGTGAGGTATGGAGGGGTATGGAGGGGCAGCTCACCTAGTTACTAGCGAGAGAAGGGGAAAAAAAAAAGTTAGCTACGGCACCTTATCCCTGGCCCTGCTCCTGTTGCTGGTTTGCCCCTCGTTACATCACACACGCAGCTACCCCCCGGTCCAACATCAGGTCCGATACCCCCCCCGGTGGACTCACTCACTGCCACCACCTCCCCATACAACCACGACGCCTGAAAAAAAAGCTCTGGCACCTTCGATGCCCCAGCTTATCGCTCACCGTTTCCAGTTTATTTTGGTCAATGCTGTCGATTATAATTATTATTATCCGCCTCAACTGGATCCAAGACACGATATGCCACAGGCACACCTGGTTCAAACGGCTCGTTTGCACCTCTCATCATCCACCCCGCCATACCGTGCTAAAGCTTTCATTCTCCGCCCACCCTCCAAGGGTCTGATCTTAGTCCCCCCCTGCCACCGCACTCTCTCTTACAGTCTTACTCCAGTCTGGCTTAGCTACCTATGAATATCGACAGCTCCATAAATCACTCATCAATGCTCCATTACCCAACCCGCCAAGCTCGACTGAGCACAGCTAATGAAACACTCTGCCTGGTGCATGAGGCACTTCCAGCCTCGACTCGGCCGGTCTTAGCCCCAAAGAGACAAATGGTCGAGAAGGGCCGTTTACGACTCCGTTCTCGGTACCCCCATATGGACCGCGCCATATTTGGCTCTGCCGTCTGTCTACTCTACATACGTTGGAAGCCCAGGATGCATACGCGAAAGGGAGAAGAACCACTCCATCCATGCTCATCCAACCCCTTCCATCAAACTCATGCGTATGCACAAGCGCTCGACTATCAAGGGTGTTGGCAGTTGTGTACACCACACCACCTATTCTGTCACTTTGGGGGTCCTGACCAGCTGCTTGAACTGCAAACCCCGGTCCATCAAAACAAGGCTGGTGCGTTGCGGCAATTGGTGGGGCCCGAGATCTGCCTTTCGACTCACCCAACCCAATGACCAGTCCGGTTGGCCCGATATGCCGGAGCATCACGGCTTCGTCGGCCCCAAGAGCTCCTGGCTTCGCCTATATCGTCTCTGGAACTCCCGAGTGCTTCGGAAGTGATGACATGGCTACCGAAGATACCCGCCAATGTCAATGCCGCGGCCTAAGAGTTTACCGTCGGAGGCCCAAGTAAATAAATATTGACATTTGCCAGCCTCCCGACATGGCCAAGGTCGGATCATTCTCTACGGTCCCGACACCGATTGGCCTGGCATGATATGACGCTGCCGTCATTTCCGGTCCCTTTTTGGCAAGGCACGGCCCCTTGAGTTATAGTCTGGCCATACCACGGCGTAACTCAAATGAATGAGTTGTCACTCGGTGAAATCCTTCAGTCCAATAGAACGGGCCGAAGTTTAACGGCCAGGTTGTGTCAGATCATGAGAATGAAAAACGCTGAAATTCGCCTCCAGCTTACCAATCTAACATTCCAAGGGCGCACATTACCAGCCGTGTCATCAGCCTTGTGACTGGGAGGATGTCACTGACGCTCGTCCCGTTCGGAAGCCCACATCATCACATCTGGCCGTTTCTTATGCTCCGAGCCCACCCTTAAATGGGTACTCGCGACTTACATGGACCACGGCAGCAGGCGTGGCTTCTTGGGGATCAAGAAGGCTTCCCGACAGGCCCCGTTTGCCGCCAGCTGCCCCGGAATGGTGCGCCCTCGTCGAGGTTCGACCCGACCTACCCCAGATTTCCGCTCCGGTTCCTCCCGACCGCTGCCCCGATGCCATACATAAGCTACAGTTTGCCGAGCCGGGGTACAGGACCTCGTGCTTGGAGATCTGGGACTCGCCTCGCCTAGCAGCGATTACCCTCAGATATTCTTCTCCGAGGCCTGGGGTTCGTGTCCGAGTCGGTGGGGCCACTTGCCAGCCCGCATCGCTCGCCGGGTAGCTGCGGGTTGGGTTGCGGGCGTGTAAGTCGGTCATCACACAAAGCATTCTGATTCCTAGCGAGTCGTCATCTACTCTTGAGTTTGCATAATTTGTGGGTTCTGTCTTTTGCAGCTATCGCGCTGAAGCTAGCGTTCGTGACCAACAGCGCGAGATTGGCCTTCGTGAGATGTCGCGACCTAGAGACGAATGTGCCAACAGATTGTTTATCTCATACGACGGGGTCGTGATCCAGTTGTGGATGTTCGCTTTTTTTCTTTTTCTTCTTTTTGTTAACGGCATGATGGCCCTTTCCCCAGACCCCATCCTCCAACTTGAACGGTGAAGAGCAAACCCGCAGCGTTACCGTTGGGGTCGAAGTATCCTCGGTTTTACTACGTATGGTACCGGTGAACATTATTCACCTCGGTGAATTGTCTCCTACACCGAGTCGACCTGCCCCACCGGCCCTGATGTCCGCTCAAGTTCGGCGCAACGGCTCCTGTATGCATTATTAATCAAACGTACAATTGTAATGTTGTGCAGAAGTTATGCTGCTGACATCTCAAGTTTATGTAAGCCGTGCCCCCACGGTTTTCCCCACGGTTTCCCCCACGAATTACCTTATCGCCGCGTCTTCACCGAAAAGGAGCCTTCCTCATCGTCGGACATTCAAATGGACTGATCGCCGAAATCAGGCATCGGCGCAATCATTTGAGAGTCATGATGCTCCCATTGACACAGTTTCTACCCCGATCGTCTGCTTGCCCCAGATTATGTCACTCTTATTATTATTAATGACAACTTTGAGAAGTAATTTGCAGGCGCGAGCGCTGTCGAGGTGCATCGGCGATTAGCATGTCGCCCGTGGTGTAAGCGACTGGTCTGACGACATATCGGGGTCCCCGACGCCTTCTCCAGCATGTTAAATCCGAATCGCCTCAACTTTGATTACACGATGAAGCCATTCACAGTTGGGTTCGTTTATAAAGGTAAGCAGGTTCGTCAGGGGCGTTCGGTTGAGGTCAGAAGCATCAGTGACAACAAAGTTGGAAACTCACATCAACGAAGCATCTCTTAGTTCAACTGCGAAGCACCATTGAACTCACTTACAGGGAGTTCCACCTCACTTCAAGCAAAAGCACAAGAGTCGACGCAAAAACGATGACGTCTAACCAAACCTTTCTCGTCACCGGCGCCAACGGCTACATTGGCACCCATATCGTCAGCTATGCTCTTGAAAGGGGCTATAATGTCCGCGCAACAGCCCGTTCAGAGCCCTCCCTTGCCAATCTCCGCGCCCTCTTCCCCAACTCCGCGGACCGCCTCTCCTTCGCCATCGTCCCGGACATCACGGAGCACGAATCTTACAAGGACGCCCTCGCCGGCGTCACAGGCATCATCCACGCCGCGTCTCCCTTCATCCTGAACCCCAAGAGCAACGAGACAGACCTCCTACGGCCAGCCATCAACGGCTCCGTCGCCATCCTCGAGGCCGCGAGGCAGTACGGCCCCGACGTGAAGCGCATCGTCAACGTCTCGTCTTTTGCTTCCATCGTCGACATTTCTCAGGGCTACCGCCCGGGGTACACGTACACGGAGAAGGACTGGAACCCGATGAGTTACGAAGAGGCGTGCAAGACGGACAGCGGCGCCGCGGCGTACTGCGCCTCCAAGGCTCTCGCTGAGAAGGCCATGTGGCGCTGGATGAGCGAGAACCAAGCCGTGGCGTTCACGCTGGCTAACGTCTGTCCGTCCTGGGTGTTCGGGCCTTACCTCGGCACGCCCGACCTCGACCGCCTGAGCGAGTCGATGGGTTTGCTCTGGAAGCTGGTCGACGCGAAGGAGGTCCCGCCGACCGACTTTGGCGGCTGCGCCGATGTCCGGGACGTCGCGCGGGCGCTGATCGGCGCGGTGGAGACGCCGGCGGCCGGCGGCGAACGGTTCCTCGTCGGCGGCGGCTTCGACTGGCAGACTGCGGCCGATGTCATCCGCGAGGAGGTACCCGAGGTTAAGAGCAGGGTTCCTGAGGGACGACCGGGATACGGCAAGACGGAGGAGCGGTACTCCGTCGACGGGGGCAAGGCCGAGCGGATTCTGGGGCTGGAATACACGCCCCTGAGCCCCACATTGGGCGACTCTATCCGGCAGCTGTTGGAGGTCGAAAAGGCATCCAAGTCTTCTTGAGATGAAGACAGGCTTCTCAGTTTGGCAAGTTCCGTTTTTCTCGGTTCCTAGTTCTCGCAGCAAGGAGTTTGTGTAGAGGTAACGAAATCATCATATAGACTGTAATTTCAACAGCCCTCTCGGCCATATAATCTCAAGTCCGCTCCCACCTTGGTGTAGCGTCTTTGCCAGAAAAGAAAGAAAAAGACATCAATCGCCCTGCCATGCGCTTGATATGCACCTTTGTATCGTAGTATAACGCCCAGGTCCTTCTCCCCCTTTCCTGTAAGTTCCCCTTCAGTAGCGGCCTGTGGGCTCGACGCCATTGATTTCAGCGAAGGGATCCCATTCGGCGTCGTTGGGGATGTATTCCATAGTCCTGCTGACCTTGGTGGCCATCTCCTTGCCGTAGACCTGACAGATGAAAGCGATGATCAAGTCCAGGCCGGAAGTGATCTGGGGATTTTGAAATTTTAGTACGTCTTCAGCAACATGAACCGCTATAACACCCGAAGTAATATGAGAAAAAGATGCGGGGAGATAACACTTACACCAGACGAAGTCCAGACATTGCCGTCGTTCACGTACCGCGCCGGCGAAACCCACTTCACGTTCGACCCCATGTCCGTGATCAGCTTCCAGGCCGCCTTGTTCGTGGTGGCCCTCTTGCCGTCCAGGACCCCCGCGCGGGCGGCGAAGCTGGTGCCCGTGCAGATGGTGATGAGATGCTTCACCCGGGGGTAGTACCGCTTGACGTATTCGACGATGGGCTCCAGGCCGGGGGCGCGGATGCCGGGGCCACCGGGGACGATGAGGACGTCGAGGTCGAGATCGTCGTCGAAGGTGGCAGTGGGCTGGATCGTGGGCCAGAAGGACGAGTTGAAAGGGTTCATGCCGGCGGCCTGCGGGGCGGTGGTGACGGGGTCGAGGGTCGCGGCGACGAGGTGGAGGTTCAGGTGGCGGTTCTTCGCGACGAGCTGAAGGGCGTCGAGGGGGCCGAAGATGTCGAGCATGTCCATAGCCGGGAAGACGACGGTGCCGATGTTCACGGGGAGCGAGGTGGTGTTCGTGACCGGCATCCTGATGGGGCGGTGGGTGGGTTGCAAAGGGGGGAAGGGGTTCCCGGCGACGAGGAACGTGAGTGTTGTCGCCATTGTGAGGACGGAGAAGCGCATTTTGTTTGTTTGATGGGGAGGTATTGACGCCTTTCCTGAGTGGTTGTGATGAGGAAGACGAATGAGAAACTCGAAGGTGAGGTGAGACTTGAAGGCCTCAAAGATAGAGAGGGAGCAATATACTGGAAGTCGCTTGAGGAAAGAACCCGGCGAAACAGGGGAACTGTGAGCAAATGCCACTGCCCTGAACTGTAGTTATGAGTAGACCGAGCCGGCACACCGCAGAGTATATATCGTTTCCGTGTGTCGCATCCACCACTGAGCAAACCCTCTCTGAAAACCGATAGATGGGCCCAGGAACCCCGAATGATTCATGCCAATCGCACAAAGGTGTTTTACAGCCAAGCCCACAAGGATGTCAGGGGTTGAAGACGACATTTCGACCCCAAAGGGACGCCGCGACGTGGCTCAATGTGAAGGTGGGATCCTGCAATAAAGACGCGACGTAATCCTAAGCCCAAGGCTCGATATGTTAGCTTGGCAGCAAACCAGGAGAAAGTCCACCAGGGACTGACAGCTTATTGTCGGAAGAGGCGCTTTATCAATTTGAGCTGCTTCCGGCATTTTTCTTGGCGTTTTCTCTGCGCTTCCCTCCTTGTTTATTTTCCTTCCTTCTCACGCTCCCCAACCCGCCCCCTTGCCCTGTCTTCGTGCGCAGACGAGTTCGTTATGAGCAGTTTTGAAAGCCCATGACACCTGTCGTCCGCTTCGAGTGAACAAAGCCGTGGCTTGCTGCGGGGCCACAGTTGTACGAAAATGGGCGGGAGAGCTGCAATAACTCGCAGCGGCCGATATTCAAGGGTGTGTGTGTGTGTGTGTGTCACCGCGGCGGATGAGGTTCCGGGATTCCTGGTGGGATTGTTTGCCGAGTCTTCCTCTTCAATATCGCGCCGAGGCGCTCATTGGCGTTTTGTGACGAGCGTCCTTCTATGGACATCGAGTACCGGAGTGAGGATTTGGACACCCGGTGGCTAAGTGGCTGCCGGGATCTTGAATGTGATGTTGTGGTGATAGCAAACACCATTGATACTGCATTGCTTTTCCGCTAGGGATCTCAAGACATTTAAACCCCCGGACATTCCAACTAGCCTGACTAGAGGTATTGAAGAGTCCCGCAGCCAGTGAGGTTGGACACATCGTCGAATTACCAAGGAAGGACCTAGCCAAAGGATCGAATTGAGGTTGATGACGGGTGGGGGTCAGCGCCACCCGGCCCGGCCCGGCTGTCGATCTCCGACGGACCCCCCGAGCGGACGTCCAAACCTTTAGAAGCAGACTCGGGGCCAATAGTGATGGGCGGATCGAATTCTTCGAGCTACTCGTTTTGATTGTAGAACCTCTCGAACTATTTCGAGTTCGTGCTGGTCTACGCCATCTGTTCAACCAAAATGCCCTATCGAACGGGTAGCGAGGAGCAATAAGCTGTGTTCCAGGTATGGTATACGAACAGCCTTCCTAGAGCACTGCTCTCAAGCTCATTACTAGACTAGCAAGTAGGACATTCTCAAAGTTCAGTCAATTGAGGTTGTTGGGTTTGAGTCCTGGCTGCATCTTTGCCACGCTGGAAATTTGCAGGCTATTCAGCAGTCAAACCTCTAGTGATCTGGGTGATCGTCCTAGCCATCAAACGTTACTGGTGGTGATCATGTCTCTGTAGAATCGAAACTAGACTGTTTGAGATTCGGCATCGACCACGAGGTGTTGGTAATTCGTTACGGCGCTTGGAACCCAAAATAGCTTCGCTACTCGGGACCGCGTGTGCTCCATCTATCGGTCTTCTAGATCTTCCGTTCCCCCCTTTACGACAATCCTTTTGTTTCTCTGAACCGCAAAGCCAAATTGCTCTGCCCAAGCCAAGTACTACAATAGAAAAGCGTACATCCGTAGCCCGTCATGCATCGCCTCATGCTCTATACAAGGTAAAACCCCTTCTAGCCATTGAATGTCTATACCAGTACCGCCCTGCAACGTACAACAATGCCCATTCGTGTATCTTACCAAGGTGTCTGTTTTTCTAATAAGGCAAGACCATCCCCAAAACACCGCCCAGTACACCTCGCACACGAGACTGGTTCTCGTGGATGCAGGTAAACACGACTGCCGTGCTGGCGGCAAACACTAGCGTCTCCCTCCACTGCTTGTCCATGCCGTAACGCCTCGGTAACAGAGTCGCCATGGCTCGCGGCGCGACGAAGAGGGCCATGTCCTTACGGCGGCTGACGCTCTCGACGAGAACACTCCAGCCACACAGGCAGCACCCCGTACGGATGCAGATGCCCGCGTCGATCTTCTGACGCGCCGCCATGTCCGTACCGATGAGGTGGGGCCCGATCCTTGTTCGGGCTAGGCAGACGCCATAATAAAAGAGCGTGATGTACGTGCCCAGGAACGCCGACGACCGCGACGCCGAGAGCAGCACTCGCAAGACGCTCTTCTTGTTAATCGGGCCCCGGAGGAGGAGGGCCATACTCAGGGGTAGATACATGGCCATGGACCATTTCCACGACCGGTAGAAGCGACTGATGGCGTGGAGCTCGCACGAGGGGCCGCAGCCCATGTGGACTATCTCGCAAGGGATCGGGATGGATTTTGATGGGTCGCCCCAGTCCATCGGCCACTTGTACTTTTCGCACATGCCCTGCAGAAGCTCCGCCTGCTCACTCCGGCCGTAGGCCATGTCACCGACGCGCAGCTTCTGGAGAGCCTCGATGAGCCGCATATCGACGTTGGCTGCTGAGCTGATCCATTTGTTATAGGCGGCGGGGAGCCGTGAGGGGTGGTAGAACCATGACCACATGATGAAGGCGCACGAGGTGACGAACAAACAGGGGTCGGTGAATCTGCCGACGATCCACTCCGCCTGCGGAAAGTTAGCAACTAGATCCTCGAAGAACACAAAAGCAAGAACGCCAACCTTGGTCCAGCTTCCCCGGGCAATGCGGCGTGCGCGTCTACGTGCCCAAAGCTCCCCAACGACGACATCAAGTGCCCGTGTTAGTGTGAAAAGGGTCAGGTCAAGAGTCCGTCCAGCAAATCGGATTTCCTTCATTTCAGCCCCAGGAGGAAAGTCAGACTTGACTGGAACATGTTCCGTGAACGCTGAGCTCTTCTTGGATTGCAACAGCTGCAGGCTAAACCACGCAGCAATGAACGTAGCGCACCATCTGGCCAATCTGGCTTGAGTGTCAATAACCAATGGTCCGTGAGCAGCACTGCGATGGATATATTGAGTCTACGAACCTGGTGCGTGTTACTTCAGCAAGGCCCTTGATATTGCGCTGGAATAATTGCCGAAGAAGTTCCTATCAGGATGTGTTAGTGACCAAGGACAAGTCAAGCCGTACGGGGCAAACACAGTTGGAACACCAGGCTTTTGGTTGCGAGTGGCCTAGGAGCAGAGCAGTATGTCAGGGGCGTAACCGTCTTTCAGCTAGTTGAAGACATGGTACCCCGCATCTCTTGCATAGCTAGCATTCAACTCCGGGTTGCTAGTATCGGGTGGACAAACCTCCAATAAGGTGCTGCCGCCAACTAATACGGCGCAAAAGGTTGGGAAACGCTGGGGATCTAGACCAGTAAGGACAATTTGCCTGAACCTTTCCACAAAACCGTCGCACTGGCCATTTTCCGTTGAGACTCTACGGCGCTTCTTGGTGGTGTATTGCATCAACAGTGTCAAGATCCTGGGGGCGACAGCGGAAGCATAGCCAAGCAGATACGCCCGAAGAAGGGGCCGTAGGATTGGCGGAATCCCGGGTAGCTCAATCAGGCTTTTCCGGCGAATTTGCATCTGACTCTGAGGTAGCATTGCGGAGGGAGAAGGTGTAACAGCAGCCATGAGGCTTCGGCGTCAATTGCCGGACGTCAAATTCGTAATGGTCCCTGGGGCAGAGAGTCAGCGATGCGCATTGAAGTTAGCAAGCAATGCGTCTGTGCACCTCGGAGGGTTATGACAATCATGTAACTGTACAATAGCGTAGGGTTCTAGCTGCGGGCTTGGTTGATTAAACTGGGTTCAATTGAAGGGAGTTCGAAAAGAAAGATGTGGCCGAAGACATGGTTGCTCTGCGCAAAGACATCGACCAGCAAAGTGCGAAAGTAGGGGGGCGCACCGGCGGTTGAACCGTGGTAATGCATGAACTACCTTAGGTAATGGGGGATAGACACGATAAGCGGATAGCCTGCCCGCTTCGTATGGAGGGTACTCCGTATGAACCATGTTGCGTTGCGAAACTGACGGGGTGAGGACAGGTATCTGGTTAGAAGACCAAGCTCCGGTGTTGCCCAGCTGGGCTCGACTTCACTTGAAGTTGTCCAGATATCTCGGATGCAGCTAGATGCGATCTGCAGGGGAAAACCTCGGCATGTTTGTAGTGGGGTATTGAACAATAACAAGACAGCATGCAGATGATATTCATAGACTATCGGGCGCGTCTTACCAGGGTAAGGTAACCAAATTGCTCAATTGGCTCGTCGAGTGTCGTGAACGAACGGTCCTCCAGACAGCTGGCCGACGCCTAGGGCAGAGCTGGGACTATGCTCTAGTGTCGAAAGTATGATGTGTCCGTACCTTGCGTGGCACGATATGAAGAGGACGGGAAATTGTGGGGAAATATCGGGCCCACGATGTGATGGAGGGTAGGATGGGCGACGTACGTTGTCTAGGAAGAGTATAATGAAGGCCAGGGTGATTGTGACGATTGGATCCTTCGGCACTCCCCCCTGGAGAAGAGGTTGAATCTGGCAAACGTGGCCGAGGTAGGTCACTTCCTCCAGTCAAACTGCTTTCAGATATGATTGGCCGCAGGATTGTTCCGATCAGCTGGCTTGTCACGCGGAGATTCACGCTGTCAACCAAGGAAGACAAAAGATGGCAATAAAGGACAGACTGGACGGAGCCAAGCCACATTGGGGCTTAGGCACAGCAATCCATGCGAGTGCGACGGCATTCAATAAGAGACTTCCATCGGTCTGGAGTTTGTGCGGTGGAAGGGAACCTGAAGGGAATTACGTTTTGCGTTGGCTCGGCAGGTGGCAGGCGATGCTAAACAGGGGACGGATGGAGGCCTTCCCTGAGTGCTTGTGAAGCGCCGAGTGCTTTAAAGAATTGATCAATGCGATCGACTGGCCGTCGGCAAGGTCAGCGATGGCTCCGTCTGCGCTCTCTCTAAAAGGGCGAAATAGCCAGGCAGAGTCGAGTGTCGAGTGTCGACTGGGCTCGTGGGCGGTAAACACAGACAGGCTAGGACAACCAGCCGTTTCGCATCGACCGAGGCTGTGTTTGTTTCTTTGTCTCGATGTTTCTTAGCAGAGGCTGGACATGCAGTGTCTGTGAGGTGCCTTAGCGGGATCTGTCGACGCTAGCAAAAGACGTATCGGCCGGTGAGGCCGTCAAGATTCCCAAAGGCTGAAGCAAAGCTGCTGCGGGCGAAGCGACAAGGGTAGATCCAGGCTCAGTGCCGGGAGAGAAAGGAACAGGGCGGAGCGGTGTTACAGATGCAGTTCCAGGCGACAGTTGGAAGCAACGAGTTTGGCCGAAAGATAAGTAGATGAGAGGGAAAAACGTGAAAGACAAAGGTTGAGTCAAAAAACTTCTTAGGGCGGGTTGCGGGACGGATCCCTCGAAAGCTACTCCAAGTTGAGATGCGGTACGAAAAAGTGCTGGGGAAAGCTTAGGGTGCGACAATGCGGAGCACCCATCCAGTACGATGAACGATGTACATCGAGGATGGCGCCAAGGAATTTCTGGGGCAGCGAGGTGGGGGGGGATGAGACTAGAACATGACTGACAGCGTGAGACAGCGGGAGGAGAAAGAGAGGAGCAGGCCGACAGGCAGGCGGAGGAAGAGGAGGCGGAGGAAGAGGAGGAGGAGCAGGAGGAGGAGGAGGAGGAGGAGGAGGGATTGAGATTGAGGAGAAAGTGAGAGAAGTTAGCATGTGATGCCCCGTTAGAGAGTGCTAAGCGGATAAGGCAAAGTAAGTACCTAGTGGTGAGATGCATCAACCCCCAGGCCGCCAGGTACTGCCTGATGAAATGGTTGAGGCTGGACTTGACGAGCAAATCAGAATCGTTTATGCGGCTCTCGGCCTGTCTGCTGACCGCCCTTTGTACGACCCCAAGCCCACAAGAGTGGTCTTTGTCAGCAGTATCGGAGTACTGTTTTAACGATATTGCTCGGCTTGTCTCATGTCCGCGTCTTAGGTACTGTATGGCTTTGACGCCGATCTTGTCTGCCTAGGTATTCCTTTCCTTTCTCTCATCGAGCCTTCTGTCCCTGTCCAGTTGTTGGGCAGGCGAAGGCAAGAATTCAATCAACCGGTAATAGCTTCCCACTTGGTGATGACGAGCTGGACCAATTGCGATTGTGTTTTTCCAGGAGAATTAAGCACACTCACTCACTCGCCCGTATCGAGGCCGTGCCTGTTGTGCCTTCCTCTCTAACTACCTACCAAGGAAGGTAGGTACCTTACGTGCTACGTACTTCATATATAGCACTACTACTACCTACCTAGGTATGTATGAACCTGTTTGATACAGCAGCAGCTGGTAGGTACCTACTAACTTGCGGAGGCTTGCAGGGCGATGCAGGTGACCGTGCCGCCATCCCAGCAAACCCCACTCCTCCCTCTCTCCCCGCTGCAACCTACTGCGTACCTGCCCTGTCCTGCCCAGTCCGCTGCCCTGCGACCTATCCTCCCTCTGTCGCTGTCTCTGTCTCTGACCGTTCTGGCAGCACTGGCTCTCAACCATCCCCCCTGGTCAACAGGGGTGGGTGGATGTTTGGCTTGTGGGTGCCCCAGACCAATTCATTCTTTCCCGGTCATCCTTCTTGATTACCTGCTCGTCATTGCCCACTCACCTTCCCGAGGTATTACCTACCTACCTACCTTTTACAGAAGGAAAAAAAAAATCCACATCACGGGTCTTTGGCTGCCGCCGTAGCCCCGTCCTTCTCCCGATCTGTCTTACTTGCGTAGCTTGCATCTGGCCAAAGGTGACTGGGGGTCCGTCTCACTCACACTCACCTGTCATCACTGGTTTCTGCTATCTTGATAACCGACCACGGTTGTTGCTGAACCTGGATATGCAAGTACACGGGTGAGGGAACCTCAACATCACGCATCCGCGCGCCCACGGCCGCCAGAAAGTCTGTTCGCAAAGCAGTCCAATGCTTCAAATGGGCTTCGAGCTCGCATCCCATCTTCAACATACCTATCTATACACGTACCTTCCTCGTCTCCAAGCTCGCTCTCGCCAGAGTCGCCGTAGCCCTCCCTCCCCTCCTGCATTCTCTACTTCTGCTGTTCGACCAGACTCAAGGGTCTTTTCAGTATTCTTAGCCCTGCATGGGCCGTATAACCGTCCGCCGGGGGTAGACCTTGGAAACTACCCACGAGCTGTTCATTCCCGCTCGCTGCCCTACAGCTCCAGCTTTCTGGCCCACCTCACCGTCCAGCACCTACCTACCTCCCCAGCTTTACCTCACCGTACCTTGCTCGCCTTACCTTATACAGCACCCTTCCGACCTTTATTCACCAGGCCCCCGTCCTCGCCATCCGACCTTTCTTCCCCATCATCCTCAACCTCCTCCTCCCTAACCCCCCGCTCGGCGGACGAGACGAGAACGAAGACATCCTTTCCCTTAGCACTAGGGATCCAGAAGCCCGGTGCGTTGCCTAAGCGCAGCCACCACCCCACTTCCGCCTCGACGTAACCCACCAGGCGTCCACCTCCGACTCCTGCTGCTCTGCCACGGCGCGCACCTAAAGACGACCAAAACCACCCACCAACCTCTTCGCACTCCTATCAAGCAGCACCATTGCGGGCTCTGCTGCCGCAACAACAACAACAATCCGCCACCCCGCCAAATCACAAGACAGCCCAACGACTGCCCGCTACCTACTTGACTGCCGCCGCTCCTCCGCACGTCCTCTCCCCAGCCCAGTCCAGCCCAGCCCAGCCAACCGAGCCTCTTCTTCGTCTAGACGCGCTGCGCTTTTTGATAGACACGTTCCGTTCCTCCTGCCATGCCCCTCTAGTATATCGACTTGCCCAGAGGAATGCGCATGCTCGCCTCCGAGTCGCTCGCATTCATTCTCTCCTCACTTTTCTCGAAGCCTCATCGCTCAACGTCTCTCCCTACCAGAACCAGCACATCCGACGACTACCGTCCATTTGCCACAAGACGCACCCATGCTCGCCATACAACGTCCCAGGATGGGTTCGACGCAGCCGTCAGACCCGAATTTGCCCTTCGGCTGTAAGTCTCCTCCCCTTTCCGCCTTGCGCCGAAGTCAAATGTTCGCTGACTGCCTCCCCAGATGCCGTTGATTCTTCTCAAGACTTCTTCCTCGACCCCCCCGAGCCCGCCCCCGGCGCACCTCTCCTCTCCGACAATGACACCAAGCTACTCAGCTCCTTCTTCGAGGACATGACGGCGGACCACTACAACCTACCATCATTTGGTGAAGGCCTCAACTTCAGTGATGCCTGGTTGGATCTACCACCCCAGTTTATGGGGACAGCCACGTCTTTTGGCCAGTCGCCCGCACCACCACCGCTCGCCTCCCCTGGTCATGCCATGACCCATACTGACTTTTCCGACATGATGTCAATGAGCTCAACTTTGATGCCACCGCCTCCCCCTCCTCCGTCACAGCAGCAGCAACAACAGCACCACCACCACCACCACCACCACCACCAGCAACATCAGCAGCAACAGCAACCGCAGCATCAGCCGCAATCACACCCGTCACTCGAACAGCATGCCTCAGCCGATGTTCTCCAAGCTGCCAGCACACTACTACACAACGGTTCATCGTCGAGATCAAACGCGAGCGGGTCTGGGCCGATGTTTGGCAGCAGTAGTAGGGATATGCCGCACTCTCTCGGGCCCCCAGTCGGTCACCTCAGACATCAGCCTATGGAGGATTTCAAGCGTGCTGAGCGCGGCAGCATAGCTCAGGCTAGCCTCGTTGACGACCACGAGAGCACCTTCGCCGACATGTTTTTCGGTCCCGCTCCGGGAGAGAGGGTTTCCGCACAACGGGCAAACCAGGCTGCTAATATTGATGTCCAATGGGGCTCGGATGCTCGCTTCAACCGCTCCAACAGTTTCGTCCCGGACCCAAAAGAAACGTACGATGCTTTATCCAAAGTCCAACTGAGATATATGGAGTGCCTCGAGCCAAGTCAAAGCACGGATAACACTCGCCCACCGAGCCCCAACGGCGAGCATGCGTTGGGAAAGGGACACAGTCGAAAGTCTTCGGAGATTCTAAAAAAGGAGGAAGACGCGGACGCTCCTCCACGGAAGAGGAGGAAGAGCAGAAATACAAAGGAAGACCTCGACGAAGACGAAGAGGAAAATGGTATGGCAACAAAGGCGGCGAGGAAACGCAAGACCAAGGTCGACTCGATCCCCGCTACATCACCAACTGAAAACGGCACAGCCGGCAGAAGACGCAAGTCGGGCACGGGAGGGGCCAAGCCACCCCGCGAGAATCTGACTGAAGCACAGAAGCGAGAGAACCACATCAAGAGCGAGCAAAAGCGCCGAACCCTGATCAAGGAAGGCTTCGATGACCTCTGTGAACTCGTGCCAGGCTTGAAGGGAGGCGGCTTCAGCAAAAGTACCATGCTGACCATGGCCGCCGAGTGGCTCGAAGATATAATGAAGGGCAACGACGAGCTCAGGGCTCAGGAAACCGCCCTTGTGATCCGGTAACGAGAACGTAACTATACCCTGGAAATACGGCCGTTATAACATGGGCTTACCACTGGTGCACTTCCTACCCCAAGAGACGATGTCCGAATATGGAGCATGAGGTCTATGTATCACATCGTTGGAACACTGTCTTTATGTGGCTAGATGAAGAACACATTAAAGCAGGGGTTTCCCGAAGGGCAGCAAGTTGGATGATGATGAGAGTGATTTATGAGTATCCCGGCCTTGATGCGGGCCGTGTATGGGAGGCGACGATGATTTACATGCGGAACCAGATTTACCCAGATTCACCACTGTTTATCAGGGAAAGCTCTTGTAGTTGATACCCTTCACACTGCTGTTTTCATATTTATCTGCTCAATGAAAGACACTTATTTATTTTATACTGGAATCTCGTGCAAATGGCCCAGGTGTCAGTTATGAAGAAACTCGACTCTTTTTCTGATCCGGTTCAACTGTTGAGCTGATCTGCCATCTCAACTTTTTTCGCTCCCTAACGACTGACACGCACAAGAATCTGCAAGGGTTGGTTGCGCCCCAAACTTGGTTACTCAGAGTCACCAGCTTGTTTTTGACATGTGAAAGCTCAGCTCGCGTGGTGCAGATGCACCCCGCAGGTTCCTCTTTTTTTTCCCCCGACGTCGATCACGTACGCGTTCTTACTGGGTATTACAGCTTCCCACCTTTACCCAGCCGACAAGGTGGCACATTGTTTCACTCGACCCCGTGCCTGCATCCATTCCGCGATATTATCCCGGAGATGAAAGCTGCATGGTTGGATGCTAGTGTGGTACAATTCCTCACTACATTCTACAGAAGCCTTAGTTCGGGCGATATGTCACTGGCCCCTCTCGCATCTTGTCATGTGCGGCGGGTGTCTGCGGTAATGGAAGAGCGATGTGAAGGTGGGGTAAGCTGATGCGGTCCCCCGCCCCCCCTCCTCTCCAGAAAGGCTAGCCTGCCGAATGAGGCTCGGATAGGAAGGAATCGTGGGCGGAAAGGAGAGAGGGGAAGGGGGATCTGAGCGGCTGGCGGTGACGAAGGCCGGAGGATGTTTCGATAAGGTCCTGTTTGGCAGCGATAAGGCATCGTGAGGGCGGAGGAAGTACGGTGTGCGTGAACAAAGGGACAAAGCGGTGATGGCAGGCTAGAAAGGGGTGGGGGGGGGACGAACAGTCTTCGAACTAGGCTGGGCTGGGCTGGGCGAGCGAGTGCTCTCGACGAGGGAGGTGTTTGTGGCTGACTGGCTGGCTAGGTTTCCTGATGGTGACGAACGTATGTGGACGGCGTCTTGTTGCTGGACTACCGGCTAGTGCCCGTAGGTGGAGAGGAGGGGCTCTTGCACGGGTTGGATGCTGGCTGTGTGTCCGTACTACTTTGGCGTTGAGTCTGTTCTGCCCTGGACGGGAAACGAACGGTGACTGGAATGGCGTGGGGTATCGTGAGGGCGGGAGCGCTGGTGGCGGATTGGCGACCTCCGGTAGGAGGTGCCCATTCGCAGGGAGGCGGGCAGACGGTCGGGCAAAGGGGGGAGACGGTTGGAAGAGGAGGAGGAGGAGAAGAACGATGGGCGGTTGGGTCAGCCTACCTCTGGGGCTAGGATTATTCCGGTACCCGATCCCTCCCCTTCCGCTCTGTGAGAGGGAGGAAGGCGTCGTTTCGGGCTCCTTTTTCTGTGAATTTTTTGCCTCTCTCCAAGTTGGCGCTTGTTTTTTTGGGTTTCTGATACGGTAACTCAGGGGTTTGTTTGGAGGGTTGTCTCTGCACCTTGGTTTCATGCGATGTTGGCGTTGATGATGGCGAATGGCATCTCAAGAGCCTCCTAACTCGGCTTCCTTGGTACGTCGAGAAAACCTCTCTCTCTCTCTCTCTCTCTCTCTCTCTCTTGGGTGATATCCTGTGAGATGATCACCATAGAAGGCATGGTTAGTGGTGCTGGTCTCGGGTTTCGTATGCGATACATGCTGGTAGTGTGGGCCATGATCGTGAACTTCAGTGTTTACGTCAACGCCCACCAACATGTGATGTTTGGAAGGTAAAAACCAATCAATCTGCAAGTCCACTCAGAAGTGTTTGCAAGGAGATGCTTGCAGGAAAGTGCCAGTGTCTGGCCGTCACGGTCGCCAGCCTCCTCCTCCTTTCACTGCCGGCCTGTGGAAATGCGGCAGTCGAACCACGCAGACCAACCCATCAAAGAGGATCATGTATCCCTTGCAAGGCTCGGAGGTCGGACATCCCTTCCATGTCATCGGCGAGTGAGGTCCTTTTTCTACCTATGGGATTCTTGACGACATGAGTTGGCTTGAGTAAGTTACGCTCTTGCTGTTTTGGGCATATGGATTGTTTTCACGCTCTACCTAAGATTTGATACTTTCTCTATTCGCCGAAAATGAAGTAGGCAAGTATAAAAGCCACACAACATAGCCCGGGCAGTCATGCAGGTTGTGAGAGGGGGATGTCCTGCAATAGATCCCAGCCGATAGCACAACGGCGTCGCAGTAAAATTGCGGAAATGGCAACACAAACAGTATCGACACTGAAGCATAATGACGATGAAAATAACCGATAAGTAAGCTGACAAAACACATGTGAACCTGTTCGCGTGTATCAGTGATTAACCTTTCTCCGATGAGGTCATCGTGACGGCAGCGAGGGGGGAAGGGCTCTGGTGCTTGCCATGAGTTATCATGATTAGCTACCAGAATTTGAAGAATGAGATGCTTGCAACCCTGAACATAAACTTTGCAATTGTCCCTGGTTGCCGATCAGCGGCATAAAGTCCCTCGAGGCCGGGCGTAGCCGAGCCCCCGGAGTCTTGGTCTCCGGCAAGGCCCGCGAAGCTAGTACAACTGCAGACCTTGCCAGCGACATCTACACCATAGCACTACAAATCGTACAGTACACCATTCTTGTCTCGTTCGGCTTACTCCTTTCCCCGGAAGTTGAAACCGCTGTCGGCGTGGTGCCGCTGGCATACCCCCAGGAAGCGGCAGTTGTTGAAGTCCGGCACGATGCCTCCAGTGCTACCGACGCCGATCACTCCGGCCGAGCAGTGGTACCTGCCGTCGCTGAACTTGTCCTATTTTAACTGGCCCTACACTATCTTTCCCCTTGAAGCTGCCGTCAGCCATTTGGCAGAGACAGACGCTGTACACAGCGCAGAACCAGCCAAGAGTCAGGAGAAGAAGAGGGGCGATGCTGGTCTTCATCCGTTGTGGCGATTTTCCCCATTCTGACTTCTCTCCTGAAGCTGCGTCTTGATGATATTTGAGTTGTCTGACTTGTTTGAAGGTGAGGTTGTTTGAGACGAGTTTTGTTGCAATCATGGAGGAATAGATATAGAAGCAACTGGCTTTCTAGTCCGATGATCAATTTGGTGCTGTGTGATAGAATCTGGGTGTCATATTACCTAGTTTTGCTTGAATTCCCTCCTTATATGGTCATCGCCTATCCAAGTGTCTGACTTATTGGAGAGACGGCCAACAATAAAATCAAAGAACTTGACTTGCAATTCACCGGTAGGAAGTCCAATCTCGCCGCCAGGACCTGAGGCAGGCCAGTTCGTCCACTGTTTCCAGATTACAGACGCCCTCTGGTCAGCGAATACCAGATAAATCATCATGGCACGTGAAATGAGATACTCTGGGATTTCTTCGAAGGTTTTCTCGGACTGAAGAGAAAGATCAAGTGGTATATGCCAGTACTCATTTTCGCTGCAAACATTCGAGCACCCTGCTCGGTTCGTGGGTCTAGAAGTCCTTAATTATAGATCTTCACAGCATGAGGTTTTGGGGATGAGATTTGCAGGTATCTTGTCGTTGAAGTGATGGTCTGAGGTAGTCCAAGGATCTTAACAATAGACTAATGCTTCTGGAATAGGATTGCTCAAGGTGGTTTACTAGGCAAACGAAATTGATCGGGATGCTGACGACACCACAGAAAAGCCAGCATACTTATAGTAGTATCCAAGTTGTATGCTAATAATACCTGTCAAATGAACAATCAATGAGGTGAAGAAACACAGCAAAGTTGCTTGAAACTATAAGTTGGATATTTCGAGATGCTATAAATCCACTCCGTACCATCGCTCCTCTTCCAGCTACGAGCCGTAGCTAGACATCGGCTACTACTGGGCTCTGCCCCAGAAGTAACCTTCCTGATTTGGCTAGTATACCATTCTAACTCTGCCCATTCTAGTTCCTGCTGATGAAGGCATGCGTGTGTGCGTGAGTGGGTTTATGTGTTGAGTTGTCGAACAATTCCTCTTCATCGACTTCCAACATGAGCTGTACTGTCGTTCTCCTCGTACCAAATCCATGTAGATCAAGGGAGCTTATTATGGATTCAGTCCTTCCATAGCTCTCAAGTTTATCTGTTCCAAGCTTGTTCGGCCTTATGATGGTCTCTTGTCGCCATTAGCACCTTGCCTAGGCGATTCTCCCCCTAATGCCGTTGTTGAGACATGGTATGCTTTACCGTGTATCTGATGCCCCATACGCGGTCTTTAGAGGCGGCTTCGCATAAAATACGGTCGCCTGTAGACAGAAGCCTGCGTCTCAAATGTGGGTTCTGACTGGACTTTGCAATTTTGCCAGTTACGACGACTTCGCTCTTGACTTGGTCCCAATTCTCATGCGTAAAGCCGGGTGTTGCCTGTCCGTGGGCTTTCTGCTCCTTGGGCTACTTGTTGAAAGCAAGCGAGCATGTCTTTCGTAATCGTGGAACCTTGCGACCTTGCAGTACATCATGAGTTGCTCGGCGCAGTTGAATGTGATGGCTCCGTGCGGGTCCGCATCGTCGACAACATGGCTAACTAGGCCGGAGATTTCTTCTTTGCTGACAGTGAAAACATCTTTGTACTATTGTCAAAACTCACCCCATTCTTGGTTAGGCATGAAGAAGAATAGAGAATTGTCGTTGACCTGGTCCCGGTTCTGTGTGTGTCTGTAAGTGTGGGAGCTGGTGACAGCCATTGTGTTGAGGAGCGGGACGCGCGTCTTGACGATGTTGATTTTTGTTTGGATGGAAAATACGCCAATTTGGGGTGAGAAGTACACGAGAAGTGATGAATGGTAGAAAAAAAAGCTGCATTTGTGAGAGGCGGCAGAACGCTGGCTTTTGCAAGTGCCATTTCTTACTGCCGCCTTGCGTGGCGTCGGAAGCTCTTTGCATACCATAGCGCACGTCTGTATAAAAACTCAGATGACTACTAAATCACTTACACGGTATGTTTAGGTTTTGCCTTTCACCACACCCGTATATCACTGCTATATAACAATCTTGCGTGCCGGTACCCCCGTAGATCATTATCTCTTTTTCTACAGCTTTCATGCTTCATCACTTGCTTCCTAGGCACCATCAGAGAGTGGGGCACTTTTGATTTTGAAACAAACAGCACTTTACGCTTGATCTTGATCAGCAATGAACTACGTTCCACCGGTGAGTTGTGCTAACCTGGCGATACTCAGAACTCTGTTTCCTCTTGGTAAAATTAATAGGCAGCTAGCTAGATACCGACCCCGGATGCTAGCCCTCACGCGCCAATTGGCTTCTTCCAAAAAAAAGTAGTCCATCAGGGGTCATTGTAATTTATACTCAATTGACTGTCGACTTGCTGCCGCTGCAAATATAGGCTGCTGTGGCTGCTCATTGATTACCGGTTGTAGCAATAGTGAACGTATGTAAATGCCTGTTATTGTATTCGGCCATCGTTGCTGTAGTTGACCAGCCAGACCAAGATACGGCCGAGTACCGTCTTCGCATTATGCCTTTGACAGCAAACATCACCCACTTCAAAGCTATTCCTGTCAACCACGTATCCACGAAGCGACACCCAAGACGAAAACACAGACAAGGATATCACTCCTGACCGTGGCAAAAATCTGTCCGTACCGGAGTAGCGTCGCCGCATAGGTCTTGATGTTACCGGGCAAGAACCCAACAACAGTCCATAGCATGCCTCCGGCCGGCGCGCGGCCACGCTCGATGAAGAACCGCGTTGTGAGCAGGATGGCCTCGGTCGTTGCGAAGATCCAGAAGAAGACTTCGCGGCCCATCTCCATGCCGCTGACGTCCGTGACCGCCTCGTCGCTACCGACGGGGTAGTTGTATGCCAGCGCCGTGCGCTCTCGCTCAAGCTTGGTGCCGGAAAAGGTCGTCGTCAGGGCTATGTACAAGCCCAGAGAAATGGCGAAGACGGCGTGGACGATGCGCCAGAGGTATGCAGACGATGAGGCCTTGGCCTGCTCGGGCGTTTGCATGCCGGGCATGCCAGGCATTCCAGGGAATCCGGCAGGGAAGCCACCCTGCGCGCCGCCGGCTTCGGGGAACCCGGGCATGCCGCCGGGGCCTCCTCCGCCAGCCATTATCTGTGAGAGCATCTTCATCAGAGGGTCATCCTCGCCGCCGGGCATGCCGCCTGTCGCCATGCCGCCGGAACCTGCAAAAGGGTTCATGGGCGGGGCTCCGCCTGCGCCGCCGGGACCAGGTCTGTCGAAGCCGAGCATCATCTGGCGCAGCTGGTCCTCGGTCATGGCGTTAGGGTCGAAGGGGGGACCTGTGGCAGAGGAACGGGGAGTTGAGGCTGGCTCGTAGTAGTGCTGGGAGATGTCGATCTCCTCAGGATCTGCATGTTCGGAGCTCGCGTTGGGCTTAGGGAGGCCCGATGTCGCTGAGGGGGCCGGGGATGATGTGGTCGATGGGGGAGTGGGAGCGGCATCATCTGGAGTAAAAGATCAGTCATCTACATTTTTCAACCCATAGACAATATGGCAAATGTGGTCACGCAGCCACGACCGTCAAGGCATTGTTGGGTCGTACCTCGCTGCAATCCTCCACCTAAACCGGTGATCTTGTTCAATCTCGACGCACCGCCGGCACGAATCTTGGCCTCCCGCTTAGCCTTACGGATTCGAGCTTGTTCCGCCGCGCGCTGTGCGGCCGCATCATCTGTTGTCGCTTCCGTCATCTTATGTGTAGTGGTTGGCTGCTGGTGGGGAGACAGGTTGGTGAAGAGTGACGTTTTGTGGATGATGTTGGCCTTAGCTTGCGCTTATCTTATCGGGGAATCGGCCAGCTTTGAACTCAAGCCGCCCACCCCCACGCAACACCGCAACGCTTCGCTTGGACATGCATGCCACTGGTTGATGAGCCTATCACCCACAGAGGCTATCAGTATCGACTACCTAATTAACCTGTATCTTAAAACCTCATTTTTGTTGTTGCTGATTAGGTGTTCTTTTCTCCATCACTATACTACTACTCTTCTTCTTCTTCTTCCGTTGGAAACACCAAGTTCAGTGGTAACATTGAATGAGCATATCTCTAAGATCTCAAATGCTGCTTTTGCTGGGATCTCAGCATGTTACGGTTTGGAAGCAGCTTCTTGGGCAATTTACTTTCATTTTCAACTCTAGTGTATACGTAAAAAAGCGCAATTGGCTATCATCAACTGCTCATATTCGACAACATGCCGTCTTCTGTCCTTTTACAAAGCCCTCATGGAGTGGCCTTGCTCATGCTGATCAACCGTTTAACACCAACCTTACAAATATTAGCAATCAAAATCAAGTGAACGACTGGGAATATGGACTTACCATCCAGTTGCCGCATTCATCCGTCTTGTCCCGCTGAATCTCAACCTGGATCTTTTGGGCCACTTCGTAGTTCTTCTGCTCAATGGCCTCACCCAGTGCGCAGAGCTGGTCAATAGTATCGGGTTTGATTAGCTCCTCATTGTTCAAGTGGTCGAACAGCAGGTTGAGACGTTTTTGAGTGTCTTTGACCTGAGCGCCAAAAGAAGAAGGCGCCCGGGAAGCCACCCGCTGCATGTCTGAACTGAGCACGTCAACCAACCGCTGGGCATGGGCCGGAATGTGCGACCGGTCGCCAGCGGGGTGCCTAGGTTTGGACGGAGCTGCTGCAGCCTTCGGAGGAGGAGGCGTAGGCTGGGCTCTAGCTGCAGGCGGGGGTCCGCTCGAAGGAGGAGGTCCAGTAGGCGGTCGGGAGGTTGCGGCGGGCGGAGCACCATACGGCGAAGGCGCATACTGACTTTGCGGCGCACCCGACTGGGGCGGCGGTGCGTAGGGGTTCCTGGGCGGCGGCTGGCTTCCAGGAGGCGGCATCGAAGAGCCCAAAGGCGGCTGGCTAGTCTGCGGCTGCGCTGAGGGGGCAGGCGCGTAGCGATTAGAAGGCGGAGCGCCAGATGGAGGTGGGTTGTACGGCGATGCGGTGCGAGGCATGGAAGGAGGCGCCATGGAAGGAGCTGCACCGGGCTGGGGCGGAGGCGGAGCGTATGCGCTTGAGGCAGCTGATGTTGGCCTAGGCGGCCCTTGGAAGGCCTGAGGAGGTCCAGCCAGAGGAGACGTGACACGAGGCGGTGCGGGACCCTTGGGAGGAGGTGGGGGAGGCGTCGAGCCAGTGCGTCCGTAAGGGCTCTGAGGAGGTCCTGACTGGTTTCCCTGGTTGGGAAAGGGCGAGGTAATAGTGGCAACCTTGGGAGTAGTCTTCCTAGGTGGGGGTGCCCTGGCAACCAATGGGACGTCGTTCCAACTCTCCTTGGGGCGGAAGTTCGAAGTGGGCGTAGAGTTGCGGGGAGGCGGCGGCACGGCACCGAAGTTGCTGGGAGGCGGTCCGTAGCCCGAAGGCGCTTGATAGGACTGGGCAACCGGAGGCTGGTAGCCTTGTCCCGGAGCATAAGGAGACTGAGTGGCAGCAGGAGTGTAACCACCGATGGCCGGGGCGGCCGGGGCATAGGGGTTTGACGGAGCTGCCGGTGCAGGCGGAGTGACGAGGGCCGGGGCTGCCGGTGCGTACGGGTTGGAGAGGCCAGAGGGCTGAGTAGGGACGGTGGGCTGATAAGCCGGAGTGGCCTGTGTTTTGTTGACTACTGGAAGCTGTCCAGGTCGACGACCAGGACCTGTCGTCTTGGCAGCAACTTGAGTGCCTGCACCCTTCTGGGTGGCGCGGCCTAAGCGGCTTCTGGCCAATTCGGCCTCAGGGTAGTCCTTGGGCAGCAGGTCCAGATACTTCTGCGCAACCTCCAGCTGACCGTGAGCGGCAACAATGTCGGCGTACTCCGTGTACTTTTCGTACAAAGCTGACAGCTTCCAGTCGGCACTCTGATCCTTTCCGGAGTCCTGGAACTTGGTGACTTGGCGGAAGATGGTAACCTTCTCAATAAAATGTTGCAGCGAACGGGCATGAACGGAAAACGTTGAGTCATCGCTTGGCTCCTGCACGCCAGCTTGCTCCGCCTCTTCAAGTTCCGTAATCCAGATGGAGACGACCTTCTCGAGCTTCGACCCAACCAGATAGCAGAAGGAGGCATCCTTACGGGAACCGCTCTCAAAGATGCGATCTCCAAGAGCATCACAGAGGTCAGGGAACTCCTTAGGGTCTGAAAATGTGCAGAGGATGGCCATGGACTCCTTCCAGTTCTCAAGGTCGGCGTTGTAGACAACATCCCACAAGTTCTTGGCGATAACAGAGCCGAGAAGACGGACATAGCTGGGAACTCCGTCCTTGCTAGCCAGGTAGGCAGTCTGCACCTTATCCACAAGTTCTTGTCCGCCGCAGTTAGCAATGAGGAAAGCGTCTGCCCAACGCTCTTCCTTGAGGGAAATCTCGGTGGCCTTGCCAAAATTTCCGAGCATCAATGCCTTGGTGATGGACTTCTCAACTGCGGTGTCGGTATCCGCGAGCAAATGGAAGGGGCTGTCTGTCTTCGCCCCCTTGTTTGCTGAGAGGTTGGACAGGAAGTCTTCTTCGCCTTCGCCGTCACCTTCACCCCACATGTTGTCAGACTTGTCTCCCTCCTTGGCCTCCTCTTTCTTGTCATCTGAGGTTTCCTCGGTCTTTTCTTCGTCCTTGCTCGAGACTCCATTAGCGATCTCCTCCTCCTTGAACCCAAGATACTCGATGATACGCTTTCGCGGGTTCTCGCTGGTGAGCGTCTCCATAACGAGCCAGTCCGCCTTTTCCTCCTCGCTCTTGGCCTGTTCCTTGCGAGACTCACAGAGGCTGACAATGTCGCCAGACTGCAGAGCTTGTTCGAACTTCTCCGTTGCAGCACCGATCGACGAGTCCACAGAGAACTGCGAAATCGAGATCTTGGTGGACCGTTGCTGAGCATTCTGCTTGAAAATGACCAGCTTTCCACCGAATCCGAAAGAGGCACCAATGGGGCGCTCGAACCACTTCGGCGCCTTGTTCAGCGAGAAAGATGCGCCCTGAGGCTGCGTTTGGGCACTGGTGAAGAAATCCTCGCCGTCCAGGTTGTTCGTGGTGGAGGCCTGAGTGTTGGAGGGGTTGGTGTTCTGGAGGGTCTGGATGGTAATCTTGCCATCGAAGCCAGCGGTCGCTGAGAGGTTGGGGTTGGAGGGGTTGAATCGAGTGAGGAAGGTCCAGTTCGTGACTTCGGGGAACTCTCCGTAACGGTCGCCCGTCTGGGGATTCCAGACCAGGGTTCTGTTGTCTTTGCCACACGAAAGCAGCAAGTCGCTATCCTGCTGGCACCAAGACAGCGACAGAATACCCTGCTCGTGTCCCTGGAGTGTCCTCTCTGGCGCATTGGAGTTTCTGAGATCCCAAAGGAAGATGACGGGGGAGGTATCGTCATATGTGGAAGTCAGGAGCTTGGTCGAGTTGTTGGGATCCCAGGCGATGGCACTGACGGGCTTCCTGTTGTTATTCAACGTCAAGGAAGCCTTCTTAGTCTTCAGATCCCAAACAGTGACAAAGCCACCAGATCCTCCAGTAGCCAGAATGTGCGCAACCTTGCGGTTCCAAGCGACGCATTCCAGATCGTCTGCGCGGGCAGCAGCGGTACCAAGTCGGAACGGGTTCTCGACATCGTTGACGTCGTATATAAATAGCTCGCCCTTTGCGCCGGCGGTTGCGAGTATGTTGGAGCGGAGGGGGTTGAACTGAAGAGACTTGATTGCACCGGTGTGCTTCGTTGTTCGGGACATGAAGGCATCTTCGGCGCCGTCAATGAGCTTCTCTGCGTCCCAAAGGTCGAGAGAACCATTCTCCAGAGCACCAGCGATGATGCCCTTGGGGTGATCGGAATCGGGGGGGCCCCAGGCAAGGTCATAAAATCTAAGTGCCGTAAGCGACAATATTCGGATTGGTTGCTTGACAGCAGCAGCAAAGCCTACCTCGAGTCGGTGCTGATGCTGGCTATGGGCTGCAGCTCGAGGCCTTGGTCTTGGTTGTCAAGGTTGAGGTCCCACAGCTCCAGCTTGGTCTCATCAGAGAAGTCGGCATCAACAGCTCCAGCTCTGGTTCCGGTGATCAAAAGGGGCTTGGATGGGTCGGGGGACCAGGCAAAGGCCGCCGTCCTCGGGATCTCGCGAAGGCGAACCATGATTGCGAGAATCGCTCAGTCCCCAGGACTGCACTCAGAGTGAAGGAGATGGACGTTGCTGTAAGGGAGGATCTGCCAGTCGAGACAACTCAAATGCGGGTGTAAAATGGCATTGGTTGGTGAAGATTGATGACAAAAGATCAGGCAAGGAGTGCCGCGATTCTTCGGGGTGGAAAAGTGGCAGCCAATCTTTATGGGAGAGGTGGCTGTTCGTTACTCGGATTCCTACAGTAATACGCTGGCACTCGGGAAATATGATGCCAGATTGCAGCCCACATTCAGGTTCGAGCTCAAGGCCAAAGGTGACTACAGTCCACCCCACCCCCCAGCCAGGACAGGGACCGTGCACTCGACATTTAGCACCAAAAGCGGCGTCACGTGCATCATTACAGACAGCTCCCTTGTGGTTCCAGCCAATGGAGAGTTGCGAGGAGCTCTGGCAAAGAAACCCCACTACCCGAAAGATTCACTCTTGGAGTGTCACCCACCTGCGCCTCTCATATAGATCACGGAGTGCACCTAGACAATAGCAGATCAACTATACTCTCAAGTCAAGATGACTGACGCTGCGCGCTGGAAGGCGACCGTGTTCGTGGGTGGGCTGGCTTCTATGGTTACGGCCTCCAACGTCCACGATGCCTTCATCCCCTTTGGCGAAATTGCCGATGTGTCGCTGCCAAAGAACGACAAGCCGAATTCAACCGATCTCCACAGGGGCTTTGCCTACGTTGAGTATGAGGACGCGGAAGATGCCAAAGAAGCCATCGACAACATGGACCAGTCCGAATTCTTCGGACGAGTCATCAAAGTTTCAGCGGCCAAGGTGCCGAAGAGCGCAGATGAGGGCCTAGGAAGCAAAAAGGCTGTCTGGGAACAGGTAAGCTACTCCTGTGTTAGATTGTACATGTACTTCATGTTGACTATTTCTTTAGGAGGGCTGGCTGGCAGAACATGCGGTTGGGAATGAGGACAGCGTCACGGGAGAGCAAATCACGGAGGTCGAAGTGCGTGGAGACGATCCCATGCAAGGTCTGGAGGGGCTTGACGTCGCAGGACCCAGACCAGAGTGAGAATGAAACGATTCGGAGGGTGGTTTTGGTCTTGTTGAACAAGCATAGCGGCGGCGTTCACATGGTTTACTGATTGTACAAATGGACATGGCTTTTCTCTAACACTTAAGGGCGCGAGGCATATTGAGAAAGGAAACCGAAAGCGGCAGCGTCTCTGGTGCCTCTTCATCTGTCTGTCGTTGTCATGTACAAACTGATCATCTCTAATAACACATTGTCGCCATTGGTCAAACTGTCTCCCGCAATTCTCCCAACATCCGCTTAGTGTTCTTCTCCATGGCCGGACTCGGCGGCAGCAGACTTGCCCTGGCGCTTGAGACGGATGGTCTTGTCGGTCATGAAGTGACGTGCGACGGAGTAGGTGGCAGCGGCCAGAGCGAAGCCAACGACAACACCTGTTCTTCATCAATGGCAATCCATTGTGACCTTTCATGTCAAGTGACGTACCGAGGGGGATCAGCTCGGGGGGGATCTGGCGGAGCTTGCGCAGTCTCTGGGAGACGGTGTGACCTATATTCATGCACGTCAGCTGCTGCCAGTCAATTCGCACTTCCTCGGGTTGTCGTCGAGATCGATGCCCCGTGTCGCGGGAAGCCTCAATGGCTGAAGCGGATTGTCGACGTACCGACTTGGTCCTCGGCCTAAGGGTTGAGCATAATTAGCGATTGCGCCAGTCCGGACCAGCGAAATTTAACGTACGGGAACGGGGGACATCTTGCGCATAGTCGGGCGGAAAGCGCGGAGGGCGAGAGAAGGACGCATTTTGACGGTATTTGTCTTCTTTAAAAGAGGGGAGATTTTTCGGTCCTTTCGGTACAGCTGAGGTTGGATCTCGAAATGAGTGGAAGTTGAACCACACTCCCATCGGTCTTCTGATGTTGAACCGGTGCTAGGACCCACCTTTTCAATGCCTGAGGCCTGATTGGCCGTCTCAGGCATCGACCCGGTTCTTGCCCGTCACCACCTGATTCTCGGTGCAGAAACGACCATTCAATTGCTCTCCAAGCAACAACACCAATCGCACGCCGCTGCCCACTCTAACCCATCACCCGAACCGACTCCCTGTCAATTGAACTCGCACGCAGTCAAAATGGCCGACGATCAGGAACTCGTTACCAAGCCCTTCAAGTTCGTCACTGGTATGTCGCGAAAGAAATATCCCTCTTCAAAGTATGGCCTGATCCTTTTCCGAGGCTAACTCATAACTTTCAGCCGGTATGACCCTCCACCCGAACCACCGAAACCCACGACAGCGTCACCTCAATCTGTGCCGGGGATCTTGAAACTTTGATTTTAATCCGAACTTGACTAGGCACCGATGCCCGCTACCCGAACATGAACCAGACCAAGCACTGCTGGCAGAACTACGTTGACTACCACAAGTGCATCAATGCTAAGGGCGAGGACTTCGCCCCTTGCCGCCAGGTCCGGACTATCCACAATGATTCTTTACGGCTCGGGACTAATAAGACGCAGTTCTGGCTCGGTTACCGCTCCCTGTGCCCCTCCGGCTGGTACACCCGCTGGGACGAGCAGCGAGGTCAGCATTTCGCCCGTATGCTGAAGACGCGCATGCTGACAAAGAACAGAGGCTGGCAACTTCCCCGTCAAGCTCGACGAATAAGCGATGTTAGACTAGGTTGCGAGCAGATGAGGCAGAGGAGTCGGGCGTCTGTATTACTTCAAGATGGATCGAGACCTCAAATAGAGCATCGGAGAGTGTCGTGCGATGAAGCCAAGGGCGCTCGCGGGCGCCGAATACGATTTGTGAAAATTATCTGTAGTGTCCGCCCATATGATAATTTGTACAATTGCCTAACCTTTGATACCACCACATTGACCCGGTTGTCCGGAAACTCCGTGCGCTTTGCCCACCCAATCCTGAACTCCATGCGCAAAACCAAGATACTGATAAGACTAGAAGGTTGGTAAGAAGGAACCCTTAGGCTCATTTCTTCTTCCCGTCGACCTCGTCATCATCAGAGCTCATGAACTCGTCGTCCTCGTCGAACCCGAAAAATGTCCTCGGCTTATCCTTGGATGCCTTTGCGAGTTCTGACGGAGGGGTAGACTCCTTGGAACTACCCCCCTCCTCATTCTCGTCATCACTCGACATGGCGTCATCTGTCTCTTCTGAGCCAGTCGATGCATGGGAAGTACCGAGCAAGTTGTCCTTGTACTTTCCAGCCTTGATAGCGGCCAGTACGGCTTCACGAGTTCTCTCGTTGGATTCTTCTTTGTCCTCGACCCACTTGCCATCAAGACGGCCCTTGCTGCCGTTCTTGATCTCGTCCTCACGCTTCTCTGCAAGCTCGACAATCTGCTCCCAGCGTTCGCGGCGCTTCTCCTTCTCCCTCTTCTCCATCTCAGGCTTGATAGCTAGGTACTCGGCCAGTGCCTTGGCCTCAGTAACGGTGCGCAGACGCCTACCGTCGAGGTTTCTGCTAGAGTTGTTTGCGTCTCCTTGGTTGCGCTTCTTCTTGGAGGACATGCGGCCACCCGCAGCTCGGAGTTGGGATCCGAAACCACCCTTACCACCGCAAAGCGGCACCGACAGTCGCAGAGAAACAAAATCATCGTTTATGGACGACAGGAGATCCGAAACCGGTTTTGTGGACGATGCAGGAAGCTCCTTGTTGGATACCGTCGTCAGGATCAGTCGGCTGTCCGTCGCAGGCAGACGTTCGTCAAGTTGGCATCGCAAGTCGGATAGAGTCGTTGTCGAGGGAACAGGAAGAACCAGAGTGGACGGCAGGCCCAATCCTGCAAAAGTGCTGACGAAAACGTTGACATTCTTAACCGCCATTTTGATCGTTTTTTTGATCTTTTTCTGTTGCAGAGATGCGTTTCGCGAAATCCCTGGAAGTGGTGTTGTCGCGTTTGGAAGCGATGACGGCGAGGTAGGTTGCGACTGCTGATGAGACGTGCAGGCAGAACGGGCTGACCGCACCACCGAGTGTTTATTTCCCAAGTCACACTCCATTTCGGAGATAGCAGTTGCGAGTCACAGTCACATAGCCACTGTGGCAAAGGACCCTCCGGATGAGAGGATTGGGAAATGTGGCTAGAGCGGTACGTACAGGCAGGCTCCCCAGCGAGGCACGGACCATCTACCTGCCGAGAAAATAGGTTTCGAGACCACACCGGCTAGGGTTGGTCGCACTTACCTCAGCCCACCAAAAGATTTCGCTCTTTTTGTGTCGAACGATCTTGACCGCAAGCCGAACTCGACAATCCAACATCGACCTGAGCAAGCGACCAGCGACAACCGCCACGATGTTGATCCCCAAGGCCGACCGCAAGAAGATCCACGAGGTTAGACTTACAATTCGCAGGCGCGCGGCGCAGACAATGGGAGGAGTGACAGTTTGCTGACGACGAAAAATTACAGTACCTCTTCCGTGAGGGTGTCCTCGTCGCGAAGAAGGACTTCAACCTCCCCAAGCACCCCGACATCGACACTAAGAACCTCTTCGTCATCAAGGCCCTTCAGTCGCTCAACTCCCGCGGCTATGTCAAGACCCAGTTCTCGTGGCAATACTACTACTACACCCTGACCCCCGAGGGTCTTGACTACCTCCGCGAGTGGCTTCACCTTCCCGCCGAGATTGTCCCCGCCACCCACATCAAGCAGCAGCGTTCCCACGCTCCCCCTCGCGGCATGCTCGGCGAGGGCGAGCGCGAGAGAAGACCCTTTGGCGGCCGTGGCCGTGGCGGCGACCGTGGTGACCGTGAGGGTGGCTACCGCCGCCGTGATGCTGGCGAGGGCGGCAAGGAGGGTGGTGCGCCTGGTGGATTCGAGCCCCAATTGTGAGCCTCAACCCTCGGCGGTGCGGCGCGAAGCCGTTCCCCTGTGAAATTTTGAGATACAATACGGAACATACCTGCTAACAATTCTGCAGCCGTGGTGGCTTTGGCCGTGGCCGTGGTGCCGCTCCCCCTTCGTAAGAAGGTTCTTTCCTATCGGCTTTTACTCTCGAGACGCATTGGCAGAAACAAAAAGGCACCGACATGTACTCTAAAAAGTGGATGGCCGGAACAGTCGCGCGTCTGTTAACGTCACAGACTACGGGGGAAACATCGTGGGAGTTTGGAGGTTAGATCCTCGGAAATCGTTTGCATCAAAAGGTCATGAATTGCAGCATGCAGCTTGTGCTGCTTCCTCCAAACCGTGAAACGTCCTTTTTCTATCTTCCTTTCTCTGCCACGCCGTGATGAGCACGTAGTGTCTGCCGGCTAGCACGTGGAGGGGCGGTACTCACATCTCGAGAGGTCATGTTCGAGACTCCCCCGAATGTTGAGATCGGCCGAAGAAAACATGGGGAAAAAAGAAAAGAAAAAAAGAAAAAGAAACGAGGACGTCCGTGGATGTGATTCCTGGATTGTCGAGGACGGACGAGAAAACGGGTCCGTCTATGAAGGAATGTTGAGAGCCTGGGGTAAGCGCCGACATACGTAGGATAGCTTCAGCAGGCTTCGCACGAATAACGTATGGTTCCAGACTCCGTGTTGCATCCAGGTTTGTGCGTGGGTGCGTGTGTCTGTATATCTTTTGTGGGCGTGAAGCCCCCCCTCCCCCTTCCGCGAGGCGAAGTAGCAACGCGTGGTATTCCCGTGCCTGGGTGAACATGCGTGGTAGTCTCGAACATTGTCCAGAACGGCAAGATGGAAGGGGCGCTAAGGAGCTGCGCTCGTAAGACGACTGAGCGAGAAGTGGCGGTGACTACGTAAAGGTCATAACCATCATCTCGGCCTGTGTCAGTCTCATTCGTACCCCGCGTGAGTCGGACCCCAAGCATTCTCTCCACACTATGTACACTATGTTCTATTGTGTATGTGTTTCTCAGCAAATCGGATGTGTCGGATTGGCTTGGCAGGGGGTCGGCTTCCTCAACGACCTACCCTGTCTTCCTTGTCTGGCCTTCTTGCACTTACACCGGGTTCCAAGCGCGATCTACTGAGATTTCTGAACCATGGGATGGAAAGGAGGGAGGAATTCCTGAACAGCGTTACGTCGTGCGGCCAACTTCTCCGCATCTCCTTGCTGCACCGGGCAATCCTCATCCCAATAGGGACAGAATCCGAAGGAAGCTGCCAGTCACCATAGGCTCCGTGGACAATACGAAAGAGTCGAATCGCCTACATTACCGGTACCGCATCATATCAGACAATAAACAAGAACATATTTAAGCTCATGGGCCACCGAGGCACAAGCTAAGCTACACTCAGCTATGGCAGGATCATACCAGTGTATCCAGCCGCCGTCCCCGCCTTCTCACGCCAAACCGGTATGTAAAGCCAACTCTATGCGGGATGGCGACATCTCTACGCCAAGAATTGAGGTCAGCAAACCGGGGGGCAGCCGGGTGGAAGGGCCACGCCCGGGGTAGCGCGCGAAGGAGAGAATCGCAGGCGTGGTCGAGGCCAGGAGACTAGTGTAAGTTCATGTCATGTGCCGTGAGGTGTCACCACACTTCTCACTCTCCCTCGACCTGCCTTGGAAAGGGACGTTTTGTTGAGGCGATGCACGTTGGCGAGGAGAGTGTCGGATGTGCGAGATAAGTACCGCGGCGCTCCAAGTGGACCTCAGCAGCTAGAAGAGAGTGGAAGAAAGAAGAGGTAACGGTCGTCGGGATGGCCGCTATTCAGGTTCTGTCAGTTGAGATTCCAGTCCAAAGCCCACCGTCCTTCTTCCCCTTCCTTTCCATGCATCTTGTTCGCTAGTCTCTCGCTTCTGGAAGGTCATTGATCCCATACCGTGGGGTAAACTAAAGTGTTGGACTGACTGGCTGGCAGACGTCCGACGGTCGAGGGATAGGCGGCGCATTGCCATACCTTTTGCCCCTCAGTTCACTTCCATCCCTAGGGAGTCTAATTGCTCCCCGCCGTGTACCGGTATTTCACTCCAATTTTTCCACGCTAGAAAGTATAGCTGCTAGTGGCAGCCGTGTGCGATGACGCCCGGTATGCAGTCAAAGCCGGCGGGGAATTCTTGGGGTGGGGCACCTCCAGGTTGGACAGGGGGCCGGGGTGGCATGGGCTCTGCTCAGCTTCGCCGTTTCGCCTACCGCTCCGTTGGTTTCTCAGATGGTTTTCCCCTCTCGCCGATCAGCTTTTTTTGGCCAGAACGTCCCAAGTCTTGCTCACGGTTTAGTATGCTTTCTGGTGCATGTACCATGATTATGTTGGCGTAGATGCATGTCGACGAGGACGCAGATGAGGATGCAGGATGCGGGATGCAGTTACACCAACACATTGTCCACATTCTTGTATCTTATACCGTACGAGAGAAGAGGTACGGACATCATTCGGTGTATCCATGGAAGCTCGCCCATTTGGGAGTACAATGCAAGTCCCAGGGAGGGTCAAGATGTATGTACCTTGAACTCAGACATGCCAACCAACGCCCCCATGGACCCTGGTCCCCATTTCCATCCCAAAATGTTCCCATCCTCCGCGCTGGTTCAGCATGGCCTTGTTTATGAGAAATTATATAAAGCTGCCGTTGCCGCCTCCTGATCCTTGATCTATCGTCGAAACCAAACTGCTTCTCACCTTCTCTCCTCGTCCGTGAGCTTTTGTTTGTCGTAAGTCACCAGCCCCCGTGTCCAATTGAACCTCCATCTTTTCTAGTCTGGTGTCGCTTACACGGAGAAGATCCACTGACTCGGTTTCCCAAAGCTACAATAGTACCTGTCCAATATCTCAGTCCTAAGCCAACAGTACACCCACTATGGCGAACCTGTCGAACCTCCCCAAGCAGATGAAGGCTCTCCGGTATGCCATCCTCCCCCCTGTGTCAGGATTCAGCTTTTCAAACTCCTGCGACGAATTGCCCCTCCTGCGAAACTATGTTCTCCGGATCACATGCACCCTCCATCAGCAATAGGCTGACCCCTCATTCAGATACGAGAAGCCCGAGGACTGGTCAATTGTCCAGGTCCCTCTTCCAGAGCTCAGGGAGAATGACGTCCTCGTCAAGGTTCGAGCTTGCGGTGTTTGTGGCACTGGTGAGTGAAACTCTGCATCACTGTCTGCACCACTGCACTACACATGCCGTGCAAACGGAGGAAGAAACAAACAACTAGGATCATATACAACTAACACAAATGCTACAGACTTGGTAAAGCATGGCTCTTGAAACGCGCTCTCGGGGGCGATATCGCTGACACTTGTTGACAGCACATCCACGAGGGAGAGTTCATCGCCAAGTTCCCCCTAATTCCCGGCCACGAGACCGTCGGTGTCGTCGCTGCCGTCGGGCCCGTACGCATAAACCCTCTTGACCCTCAATGACGGCGCGCGAACCGTGCTGACGTCGAGTACAGAAAGTCAAGGACTTCAAGGTGGGCGACCGTGTCGCCGCCGACAACAGCGAGCTCTGCAATGAGTGCTTCTACTGTCGCCGTGGAGAGCTTTTGCTCTGTGAGCATGTGGGATCCCCAATACCACTTTCTGGCTTACATGATTACTTCAAGGAACGAAACTAACATCCACCACAGTTCGAGGCTCACGGTGTCACCATGAACGGTGGTTTCGCCGAGTACTGTGCCTACCCGGCCGGTAAGGTCTTCAAGATCAACAACCTCAACGACGTCGACGCTACCCTCCTTGAGCCCGCCTCTTGCGCCTGCCACGGCCTGGACAAGATCCGACCCCGTCTCGGCTCTAGCGTCCTCATGTTCGGCGCCGGGCCCACCGGTCTTGTAAGTCCTCCCTGAAGACCTGGAGGAGAGAGACGACAGTCTAATCATCGAACGTTCATGGCAGATGCTCGCCCAGCTCATGCGCCACAACGGCGGCTGCAATGTCACCATCGCCGCTCCCCAAGGTCTTAAGATGGACCTTGCCCGCAGCCTGGACGCCGCCGACAACTACATCGAGCTCTCCCGCTCCGACCCCGAGGTCCAGTTCTCCCAGCTCAAGAACGACAACCCGTACGGCTTCGACGTCGTCGTCGAGGCCACCGGCTCCGTCAAGATCCTCGAGGACGCCATCAATTACGTCCGCCGTGGCGGCAAGCTCGTCGTCTACGGGTAAGGC